TCTACCCAGACTCCCTTACCACTCCCCAACTGGGCTTTGTGAGGGGCAGACAGGCAGTCACTGGGTTCCGTAGAACACTGGTAGCTGTGGCTCAAGCGGCTTGTGAGGGGACAAACTTGAGATCGCCATTCCTTATTAGCCTGGATTTAGAAAAGGCATTTGATAGTATTACCTGGCAACATTTGATTTGTGTATTGAAGTTAGCTACTTTGGAAACAACTTTGTAAATTTCATTAACTTACAACATAAACTGACAGCCTGTGTAACCACAAGTGGCCTTGACTCCCCCTACTTCACTTTTGAAAAGGGTGCCTGACAGGGTTGTCCATTCTCACCACTATTATTCAATCTAGCTATTGATCCTTTATTGCGAGCCGTGGAGGCCCTGGAGGGATTCAGGGGAATCCCAATGGGTGAGGTCACCCTAAAAGTCTCAGTTTTGGTGATGATCTTTTGCTTTTCACCACTAACCCAAGGACCTTTCTACCACCACTGGTTAATCTGCTTGAACACTTCCATAATATGATGAATCTCACAATTAATTGGAAAAAATCATGTGCCCTTCACCTGGGCAAAGGCTCGCCTCCACCAATGCCAGGAAGACTTCATTTAAATTGGGAGCCAACAGCACTAAAATATTTGGGAGACAAAATTCCAAAGAACCTTTCTCTCTCATACCAATTGAATATACCACCTATCCTAACAAATAACTTTAATAAGTTTACTCATTGGCACAAACTGCCCTTGTCCTATATAGGCAGGGCTAATTTATATAAGTTAATTAGTTTCCCTAGACTGCTATATCCCCTTCAGGTCCTCCTCTTACTACTCTCAAAAAATGAAGCCCTATTAAATGGGAAACTTAGGCAATTTTTCTGGTAGGGAGGTAGAGCACATCTTAGTTTGACAAAATGATATCAACACAAGGCCAATGGAGGGCTAAACCTACCAAATGCCAAAGAATACAGTTTAGCAGCTCAGCTAAGGCATGCACTGGACTGGATTTAATCCCAACAAACCTTCTTGGAACTCTCTCTAGAGTAATTTCTGGCAAGGTCGTATTCACTACCGGCCCTTCTCCACAGACCGCATCAATTGCTCCCTATTCATATTTTAGTGAATCATCTCTTAATCACCCCTATTAGAGCTTGGAAACAAGCAGGAGCTAAACTGGGCGCTAACCGTCTCTACTCACTACACACACCATTCAATCAGAACCCTGACTTTCCCCCTGGAAGTCAAACACCCATACACCTCATGGACCGAACAAGGGATCTCTGCTCTTCGGTCCTTTGTCAATTATGATGGCCAGAAATTCCTAACACTTGCAGATCTCCGGGAGCATCCGCCAGGCCTTCCACTCCCATGATTTGCCTACTTTCAAATACGCCACTATTACCAGACTATCACACAAATCTTTACAGCTTATGACTAAGAAAAAACCCTGGATAACATACTGTGCTTATCGAGCTCGGCCTCTTACTCAATCTCCAAACTTGACTTGCTTATACGATACATTCTAGATTGGAGCAGGCTCCAAACGGGCATAGGGAAATAGAAAAATCTCACTTTCCAGACTTACGTCCTGAAAACATACTCGCTGCACATCATATTCAAAGTCAGGTTTTACCTATGGTCTCTTATAGAGATATATTTCTTAAGACATTAAACTATGCTTACTATTCCTCCCATAGACTTCATCTAATGGCTAGAAGGGAATCCGCCACTTGCTTCAAATGTACACACACAAGAGCTGATCTATATCACTGTCTGTGGGAGTGTGCTTCTGTTCAGGCATTTTGGACCGAGGTGAAACAATACCTTGCCATCCAAAACATGCCCTCATTGCCACTAACCCCTTAATTTTTTGCTCTTGTGCCCCATACTGTGTAAACCCATGGGTAACAAATGATTCCTTCTCATTTTAGCAGCAGTTGGCCGCAAAGCCATTCTCCAGGTTTGGAACCAACCGGGTGCTCATACTCTACAATTGTTTTTGTCTAAACTCCAGTTCCTATTTAAGATGGATTGGCTGACCACACTAACCAACAAAGAACTCCTATCCAGAATAATTTTCTCGACTTGGAGATAAAATATTCTCACTATGGATGACTCTTTCAGATCCAAGGTGAGAAGCACGTTTGAGTACACGGCGTGGTTCCCGCGGAGGTGGTGGCGGGTCATGATTCGCAACATTCCTAGCTAACTGACAAGTATCTTTGCATCCGGACAACTACTTGACTTGAGAGGGCTCTGGAGTGACATGATGAGCTAGCATAGAGTTTAGTTGTATTTAATGTTCTTGTTTGTCCAGCTTCCCAAATACTCTACACTAAGTGTGCTTCACTGCACCACTGACTTTTCAATAGGATCCTAATGTTGTAAACTTTACCCCTTTCTAACCTTTCAATAATTGTGCTTGTGGCGGACACCCCGATGGGAAGAGGGGTCTCGCCGCCAAAGATGTTCTTATCCCCCCAGTGTGAGTAGAGCTGCTATAATCCTAGAAGCAATAATTCCAAAAAGCAGTGATAAAGCTATTCCCTACAAGCATGAGACAAGGCTGTGTTGAGGGTAAAACTGGAACTGTTTAATGGAAGCCACAGCTGGCCTTCTATGCAAGTCCCCATGCAAGGGGTTTCTGATTACCTATTCCAGGGGCATTCCCCACTGGACCTGAGAGGGGACAGCAGCATAAGCACACACATATTTACATTCCCTCTCAGGTCCAGGACATGCATAATAAAAACACCCCGAAATACATACTAAGCAATGGAGTACCCTATGCATAATAAAAACACCCCGAAATACATACTAAGCAATGGAGTACCCTATCAAGTTCTATATCCCCAGTAGCTTGGATCTGAGCGCCCAACATATCCAGAAAGCACTCATATCCCACAAACGCAGCCTAAACAGTGTGGTCGGTATAGTGTGGTCGGTTTCTTTCGGGAGTATTAAATACAACAATATATATATAAATGAATAGTTCGTATGCTCCAACCGAACGCCATTTAGTTCGTATGAATCCAACCGAACATAGCTGGAGGTGGAAATCCTGAGTGTCCGATTTTAGTTCCATACACTTGACGACCAAACACCGCTGTCTGTGTTCGCGGCCACCCAGCCAACTGCTTAGAATGTTGGTGTTTTTGTAGTTACAGAGGGGTTAGCAGAGGTTAATGGGGACAACAAGTGGCACACTCCGCATATGGGTGGTCTGTCATTTGGTGATTTATTCGTTATTCGAACAGGGCAATGTTAACATATGCATTTTACAGAACAAACAGGCAAAGGGAACAAAAAGCTTTATAATCCAGTGACAGGGAGATTTGTCACAGTGCTCTTACTTCTTTAGCACCACACTTGCATTTCTTCCCTTAACACAAGATGGCATGGTATCCCCTTGTCAGGGCGTCGAACCACTTGCCAGGGGCTTTGATGATATCCAGGTGTGAATTATATGCCAATCTGTTGCCTCAATCAGCAGTCCAATACAGATAATTACACCACCACTTGCTATTCGGACATCCCAGGGGAGTGGTTTGGTCCCTCCTTTTGGGTCTGCAGGAGATGTGCTCGATCCATACTCTTCCAGACTGTTAGACCGTTTATTGAGAGAATACCTCACCTTTCCACCTCTGGTGGCGGGGGAACGACTCTTTCTCCGGTGGTTGTTCTTACCCTACCATAGGGCCTTCCCACCATCCCTTCCCACAATCCCCTTTTCTCTCTTCTCTCTCTCTCCCCCCCCCATAATCAGAAATTGAAAATGAGTGTTTGCCTGTTATTACTGTATACTACCATCTTCGATAGTTTGATTTGTATCTTTGACACTTCAATATGTCTTTGTACAAGTTCTACAAACAATCTCAATAAAAACAGTTTGATAAAAAAAAAAAGATTCAAACAAAAACTATTTCAAAGAACTAGATGCAAATAGCTACATAGATATAAAGAATTGCCATTACGCAATTGACATGGAAGACATGAACTTCTCATAGTAATGTGGTCGAACCCCAATAACTCCCATCAAGGGGAGGCAGTACCATTCTTTAGAGGGGCTCACCCTCGCAATCCTTGCCAATGATGGCAGGTATCGACAATGGGGGCTCACCACAGTCATACATCAGAGATGTATCCATGGTGAGCAATAAACTGTCTGTAGATGCTACTCTTATGTGGAAAGAGTAATAAGGTACCATAACAAGTGGCTCACCCCTGAAAATCTGCCTCAGCAGAACATATGTATGATAAACTGGCAGCTCACCCCAAGCGGTGTGCCTTGTGTAACAGAGGACGCCCACTATGGTAACATTTGGCTCAATATGTCTGAATGCAATGGTCTTCAGTGGTGAGAGCACATCATATGGTATCTGGGGGCTCACCCCAGGTGGTGTGCCATGTGTAACAGAGGACACCCACTATGCTAACAGTAACATTTAGCTCAATATGTCTGAATGCAATGTCTGAATTATTAGATAGTTACGGTACCATGAGAAAAGCAGCGGGTTATTCCTGCAGGGTCTGCTTAAGCAGAGCACATTATATATTATCTGGGGGCTCACTCCAGGTGATGTGTCTTGTATAACAGAGGACACCCACTATGATAGAAACATTTGGCACAATATGTCTGTATACAATAAGCACGGTCTTCTCCAGGCATTATTCAGACATGTATTATAATTATATAGGCAACTTAAAGGACCACTATAGGCACCCAGACCACTTCAGCTTAATGAAGTGGCCTGGGTGCCAGGTCCATCTAGGATTATCCCTTTCTGCTGTAAACATAGTTTCAGAGAAACTGCTATGTTTACCTATGGGTTAATCCAGCCTCTAGTGGCTGTCTCATTGACAGCCGTTAGAGGCGCTTCCGCGCTACTCACTGTGATTTTCACAGTGTGAAGACACCAGCGTCCATAGGAAAGCATTGAGACTGGCTGAATGGGCTCTTGCCGCACATGCGCATTCAGCTGATGACGGCGATAAGGAGGAGGACAGTTCTCAGCGCAGAGGGAGCCTGGCGGGGGAAAACAGGTAAGATTTAACCCCTTCCACCACCTAGAGCCCGGCGGGAGGGGGGCCCTGAGGGTGGGGCGGACCTAGAGACTTGTTTTCCTGACACTATAGTGGTACTTTAACCATTGCTGTAATACTCCTCTTTGTGGCAGAAAATAGCAAGTGAAATGCAGAGCCTGAGGTACCTGTACAAATGTAGAAGCTGGAGTGGGCACAAAAAACAGCAGTCCAAACAAGATTAGTTAAACAAGATAAGCCCAGAGGTGATTGACTGGGATTCCACACAGCTGTAAGATCATTAGAGCAAAGTAGATATTTATTGTATAAAATGTAGATATTTGCCAACCAAATTCTAACAGCCGCAATATTAATAACTACATGTAACTTCCAGTACAGTATGTTACAGCAGTAAACTATAGGTAAACATGGTAGAATTGTTATAGTAAATGAATAATGTAGTACTAAAGGTGGAATAAATCCGGTGGAGTATCTTCCAAATTTTAGTCCGTACCTTAGAGTTGCAGTGAGAGGTAGAAATGAAGTGACTTTGTTTTAGTTGGTTTGTGGAACTGATATCACTGATGTCAGACACTTATTCTGTAGTTAAATCATTGTCTCCTGAATTACACCCAGGGGGACAGGTCACCCCTGACCTTCAGCGATTTCCATTTCTCTCTTATCTGTACAAATTACCAGGTCAAGTGTCGGTAAATCATGTTGTACATCATACAAGTTTAGATCGTAGCCCAAATCCATTTTTTTGTATCTGCTGCACGACCTACGCAAACACTGGTAAAGACACCTGTCTGTCTATTTACATTTATTATTATTATTTATATAGCGCCAGCAAATTCCGTAGCGCTGTATAATGGTGTCATTGGAGCCTGCAACACCCTGATATTTGTAGTGGTGTATCTTGCTTAGGTTCTGTCCTCAAGAATTTGGCAGATAGGACTCGGGAAGTTTGCTGCGAGAGTCTGTGGATAAACGGGTTCTATTAATGTGTCTCCTCTTGGTAGCAGGCTGTTACCGAACTGTTAAATTCGTCTCCTGAGGTTCTGCCCATGATTCACTGGCGGATAGTGTGGGCTGGGATATAAAGAATGCATATTGCAGGGCAGCCAGGAGGGTCATACAGCCCTGTAATGTTAATTTCTCAGAGAAGTTCAAGGCTAAAGGATCAGTAAAGCAATAATAACAAAGTATCTCAATAATTGTCAATAATTCCTATAGCCTTTATGATCTGAGAGATCAGATCTGTACCTAGAAATAATGTGCGAGTTAAAGGCTGGATTGCTGGAATTTATTCCCAACAATTTGGGGGCATTGAAGGGGTTAAGGACTGTGTTATTCTGGGAGTCCTGGAGTGAAGGGCTTAAGGACTGGCATTCTGAGAGTGTTGACATTGAATGGGTTAAGGACTGTGGCATTCTGAGAGCTCTGGTATGAAAGGGGTTAAGGACTGTGGCATTCTGAGAGCTCTGGTATGAAAGGGGTCAAGGACTGTGGCATTCTGAGAGCTCTGGTAGGGAATGGGTTAAGGACTGTGGCATTTAGAGAGCTCTGGTATGAAAGGGGTTAAGGACTGTGGCATTCTGAGAGCTCTGGTAGGGAAGGGGTTAAGGACTGGCATTCTGAGAGCTCTGGTATGAAAAGGGTTAAGGACTGTGCCATTCAGAGAGCTCTGGTATGAAAGGGGTCAAGGACTGTGGCATTCTGAGAGCTCTGGTAGGGAATGGGTTAAGGACTGTGGCATTTAGAGAGCTCTGGTATGAAAGGGGTTAAGGACTGTGGCATTCTGAGAGCTCTGGTAGGGAATGGGTTACGGACTGTGGCATTTAGAGAGCTCTGGTATGAAAGGGGTCAAGGACTGTGGCATTCTGAGAGCTCTGGTAGGGAATGGGTTACGGACTGTGGCATTTAGAGAGCTCTGGTATGAAAGGGGTTAAGGACTGTGGCATTCTGAGAGCTCTGGTAGGGAAGGGGTTAAGGACTGGCATTCTGAGAGCTCTGGTATGAAAAGGGTTAAGGACTGTGGCATTCAGAGAGCTCTGGTATGAAAGGGGTTAAGGACTGTGGCATTCTGAGAGCTCTGGTATGAAAGGGGTTAAGGATTATGACATTCTGGGAGCCCTGGTAGGAAAGGGGTTAAGGACTGTGGCATTCTGAGAGCTCTGGTACGAAAGGGGTTAAGGACTATGACATTCTGGGAGCCCTGGTAGGGAAGGGGTTAAGGACTGTGGCATTCTGAGAGCTCTGGTATGAAAGGGGTTAAGGACTATGACATTCCGGGAGCCCTGGTAGGGAAGGGGTTAAGGACTGTGGCATTCCGGGAGCCCTGGTAGGGAAGGGGTTAAGGACTGTGGCATTCAGAGAGCTCTGGTATGAAAGGGGTTAAGGACTGTGGTATGAAAGGGGGTTAAGGACTGTGGCATTCAGAGAGCTCTGGTATGAAAGGGGTTAAGGACTATGACATTCTGGGAGCCCTGGTAGGGAAGGGGTTAAGGACTGTGGCATTCTGAGAGCTCTGGTATGAAAGGGGTTAAGGACTATGACATTCTGGGAGCCCTGGTAGGGAAGGGGTTAAGGACTGTGGCATTCTGAGAGCTCTGGTATGAAAGGGGTTAAGGACTATGACATTCTGGGAGCCCTGGTAGGGAAGGGGTTAGGGACTGTGGCATTCTGAGAGCTCTGGTATGAAAGGGGTTAAGGACTGTGGTATGAAAGGGGGTTAAGGACTGTGACATTCAGAGAGCTCTGGTAGGGAAGGGGTTAAGGACTGTGGCATTCAGAGAGCTCTGGTAGGGAAGGGGTTAAGAACTGTGGCATTCAGAGAGCTCTGGTAGGGAAGGGGTTAAGGACTATGTCATTCAGAGAGCCATCCTAGCTGCTGTTGCACAGATCTGATGAAGGTGTGTCATTGTTGTGTTGAGGATCAGGTTAAACTCACCCTTTTCAGAGGGTACTCTCTCCATGGGATGTGAGGGTTTGGTGGGGGAGGGTGCAGGATCTGGTCGGACTGGTCTCTGTTCCTTGCTCCGGGCTGTTGGTTTGTACTGGGGATATTCCTTTTAGCAGCTGAGTCAGTAACAGTGAGCTGCACTGCAGGCTAAGTCTCCTTCCAAACTTCACTCTCTACCTCCTGCGCTGAAAATGAATATATTTCATCTGTTCCTGCTGCTGATGGTCATCGTAAGTACCAAGTACTGCTGATACATGACACCCAGGGCAGGGGGTGGCTGGCTAGCCTCTGAGTCCATGTGCTTCATTCTGGGGCTTTGTCTTAGTTAACTGGGGACTGTTATATTAAGAGGGGCTGTGTCTTGGTGAATTGGGGACTGTGTTATATTAAGAGGGGCTTTGTCTTGGTGAATTGGGGACTGTGTTATATTAAAAGGGCCTGTGTCTTGGTGAATTGGGGACTGTGTTATATTAAGAGGGGCTTTGTCTTGGTGAATTGGGGACTGTTATATTAAGAGGGGCTTTGTCTTGGTGAATTGGGGACTGTGTTATATTAAGAGGGGCTTAGTCTTGGTGAATTGGTTACTGTGTTATATTAAGAGGGGCTTTGTCTTGGTGAATTGGGGACTGTGTTATATTAAGAGGGGCAGATTTATAGATTTGAATCTTGTTGATGTGAGGCTTCGCTGCCTGTAAACTAGCAGAATTCTGTGAAATTACACGTCTGAGTGACTAGTGTTTAATGTGCTCATTCCTGCTCAGTCCAAGCATGTTACATCATCAGAGGGAAACAATAACATTGGCCTTGTCACATACCTATTATATATATAACAGCAACACAGACCTAGTGCCTGTTATTAAAAAAGGCTCTGAAAAAAAGTTTATTCTGTAGAGCAAAAATTTATACAGATTACACAAAGCAGAGAGTGCTGAATCTGTATTCCCCCAGTCCATGATCAGACTGGGTTAATAAGGTATTTAAAGCATGGTAAGTCCAGGTACAAAAATATCAAATAATCAGTATGTTTGGAACAATTCCATGTCTTTATTCAAAAATAGGTGTTAGTGATAGGAGTGTATCTTCTCTCTGTATTTGAATGTATCTTTGTTTTAGAATGCTATTAGTGATAGAATTGGGTGTATGTGTAGAATTCCCATGTCTGTTTGTGATAGGAGTGGGTATGTATATATATTTTCTTGCCAGAGCTAAATAATATGAGGTATTCACACATGGCAAGTCAAACTAGCTGAACTTTCTGTGTGGGTGTTTCCCATATGGGTAATGAAATTAATAAGACTGTAACGGTAAATCCCAGATATTCGTTCAGGCGCAGATTAAAAGGCATTTGATTTGTTCGTACCAGCTGAAAAGAATTTGTTCACAAGTGTAAATGCATTTTGTTTGTGAATATCGCTCTGTCTGTGCGAACTAAACTGATCTCAGTTATTTGTAAATGGCAGAAATCGTGATTTATAAAGACAAGATATTCCAGTTCAAATAGAGCAAGCACAGAACCATTATTTATATAATGCTAGCATGTTCCACAGCAAGTAATTGATGTTCAATGTAATATTGACATCAACGTGCGAAGACCCTGCTCAAATGAGTTTAATTTCTAATATGTATGGAGCTGATTAATGACTTTATTTACAATGACTATAGTGGGCTTGTATATAGTTTATAATGATACCCAATGTGCAGGATAACTGAATGCTGAATAGAAGCCTGAAACGCTGGGAGACAGTGGTGTAAGGGTGAAGTCTAAGCTTTCTGTAACCCCTTAACCCCATGTGTGATATGTCATGATTCCCTTTTATTCCAGAAGTTTGGTCCTTAAGGGGTTAAACCTCATTTCTATTGAATGCGTAACTACAGGCCACATGGTATGACAGCAGTCCTCCGCATATGAACGCACGCATTATCTGTCTGCGGTTTTCACTCATGTTAACTTATTAGAGATTTATTGTTCTCTTTTTATATTGAAACCGTGATACAAATAATTCACTTGTTTACATTTAAAGAGCAGTAAATCTTGTAGTAGACCGATTACTAATGGCTGCAAGTGTTTTTACATCTTTTATAAGGAGAGATGGAAACTGAAGCTGTAGCTTTGAATGGTAATATTCAGTAAGGAATATGGTTTGCTCCATGGCTAAAATTAACTAATGGTGAGCCAGACCCTCCTCTGGTTACTGTATAGAAGCCCAACACCATTCTTGCTTTCATTCATTCATTCACTCCTGTTCTAAGGGTTTCTAATGCTAAAGCCCCTAAACTGGGTGTGTGCAATCTCGAAACAAGCTTCTGTGTGTGTGTGTGTGTGTGTGTGTGTGTGTGTGTGTGTGTATATAGTCGAATAATTAGCTACTCTGTGTTTGTGTATATATATATAGTCCAATCATTAGCTACTCTGTGTGTGTGTATATATAGTCCAATAATTGGCTCCTCTGTGTGTGTGTGTGTGTGTGTGTGTGTGTGTGTGTGTGTGTGTTTATAGTCCAATAATTAGCTACTCTGTGTTTGTGTGTGCATATTCTAGAACTGGCTACTCTGTGTGTACACACACGCTTATTGCGGTAATTAGCTACTCTGCGTCTGCACATTCCAGTTATTAGTTACTCTGTGTGTGTGGTCTGTGCACATTACGGTAAGTAGCTACTCTGTGTGTGCACACATTACGGTAATTAGCTACTCTGTGTGCACACATTCCGGTAAGTAGCTACTCTGTGTGTGCACACATTACAGTAATTAGCTACTCTGTGTGCACACATTACGGTAATTAGCTACTCTGTGTGTGCACACATTATGGCAATTGGTTACTCTGTCTATTATTATTATTGTTATTGCCATTTATATAGCGACAACAGATTCCTTAGCGCTTTGCAATATTATAAGAGGGGGGATTTAGCTAAAAATAGGACAATTACAAGAAAACGTACAGAAATAAGTTGCTCAAACGAGCTTACAGTCTATAGGAGGTGAGGTGTAAAACACAATAGGACAGGGAATAGCAATACAAATAGATGGGAGTGAAGCAGAGCACATTGCAGTAATTAGCTACTCTGTGTTTCTGTGTACTCTGTGCGGATTTCAGTAATTAGCCACTCTGTATTTGTATGTGTATGTGTACACAAATCCTGATCAGCTGTGCTGAACAAATCAAAAGCCTGTTATTCGCTATATGAACAAATCTACCCAGGATATACTTGAAAACACAAGAAATCTCAATGCATCTTTCCTGGTCGAATATTTTGTAAATAAGTAAATGAATTCTGAACGGGATTTGCTCACAAGCCTAGTATGTGCACATTGTGGTAAATACCTATTTTGTGTGTGTGTACACATTTCTGTAATTATCGTATATACTCGAGTATAAGTCAACCCGAATATAAGTAGAGACCCCTAATTTTACCCCAAAAAACTGGGAAAACGTATTGACTCGAGTATAAGACTAGGGTGGGAAATGCAGCAGCTACTGGTAAATTTCTAAATAAAATGATATCCCCAAAAAATTATATTAATTGAATATTTATTTACAGTGTGTGTATATAATGAATGCAGTTTGTGTATGTATGTGTGCAGTGTGTGTATGTATGTGTGCAGTGTGTGTGTGTATGAGTGCAGTGTGTGTGTGTATGTGATGCAGAGCCTTGGAGGGGGGTGGGCATTTTTATTATTTTTTGTAATTATTATTTTAATATTTTTTTGTTATTATTTTTTATTTTTTTTAATAGTATTAATTTTTTATTATTATTTACATTTTTATTTATTTTTATTCGTCCCCCATCCCTGCTTGATAAATGGCCAGGTAGTGGGGCTCTCATTCCCTGGTGGTCCAGTGGATGGGCTGTGTAGGAGGGGGGCTGGCAGCGAGCTGTAAATTACCTTTCCTGCAGCTCCTGTCAGCTCCCTTCTCTCTCCTCCGGTCAGCTCCACTGTAAGTCTTGTGGTTTGAGTGCTGCGCGGAGCGTTGACACGGTAACCCGTGGCAACGCTCTGACCCCGCAGCTTTCGCGAGACTTACATGGAGCTGACCGGAGGAGAGAGAAGGGAGCTGACAGGAGCTACAGGAAAGGTAATTTACAGCTCGCTGCCAGCCCCCAACAGGACCGCCAGGCTTGTAATGAGCCCGGCAGCCCTGGTCTGTATTATGGCAATGTAAGTTGCCATAATACAGACAGTGACTCTAGTATGAGCCGAGTGGGGTTTTTTCAGCACAAAAAATGTGCTGAAAAACTCGACTTATACTTGAGTATATACTGGTAGCTACTTTTTGTGTGCACAGTCTGGTATTTGATAACTGAATTGGTACATAAAAGATCTGCACTATTTCATTTAATTTATTTGCACATGTTGGTAGTTAATTTGCCATCATTGCTTGCTGCTAATTAGTATTACAGCTCCCTTACTGAGGAGCGTCATTTAGGGTCTGTTAGATCACAGTATCAGGAGCCATGAACAAGTGTTGGACAAGCTGTTATAGAAATCACCCTTAGTCTCTGCAGTTTTAGCACCTTTACTGTTTAATTACAGATAAAGAAAGGGAAATGCTATAGTTTGCCTTTGCTCTGAATATTTGAAGAATTGTAACCTATTGATCCTGTTGAATATGCCATGTGAGTGTCTGCCGTGACAGAGCCATTTCTGTCTTCACCAAAAAGAACATTAATACTTTACAGGGTAACTTCTTTCATGAACCCCCATGGATAAGAAAGGGGAGCTTGCCAGGAATGCTCCAAAGATTGTGTTTCTCGGTCACAGAGTTGTTTGTACAACCTGATGAAGAGGATCTTATAGAAACTATTTTGTTAATAAATTCAGTTATATAACCATTCTCTATAATGCTTTGTTAACATAATTCAGCTGATTGCTAAATCTTCCTGGTGGTTTTTCAGCACTACTTTTAAAGTGCTTGTTCTCTAACATGTTGTTACTATGAAGTGCAAGAGAAGTGCTTTTCTTGTCAGGATAACTAAAGCAGCAGGAATTTCTATGGGATGTTTACATTCTTTATTACAAGTTAATTGATGGTTGCTAAGGTAAAGGACTCCTTCCGTCCCATCCTTTGTACTGTCCCTCTGGTTTCCTTCATTCAGTGGTCAAATTCTCCTCACTTTGTAGAAAAATGTATCTATAACCACTGTAGATGTACTTACGGGATACATGCCTTCGCGCATATCAAACAGGGTTACCATGTTACCTTTGTTACACATTATTCATTTAGAATGTCCAACTGCAGGGGTGTTGATAGCCCTCATGGCTCAGCTCAGTGTTGCACCTTTATATTCTCTGCAATGCTGTAGCAGGATGGCATTCTGCCCTGGGCACATTACACCTCGCTATCAGTGCTTTATCACTGTGAGTGCACCAATCTGATGCTCCCCATAGGGAATTAGCAGTTCTGGAACAAAGTTGCTATCCTATAATTAACACAGGACAGGCTTTTTGTATGTAAATGAATGTCCTGGAGTTACAATGATTCATTTTCTCCTTTGAGTATTCTAAAGAATGTAGGTAATTCTTTGAAGGCCTCCTTGCCCAACAGTGAGTAATCTACCATTTCCATGTTTAGTCATTTTTTTTAGTCAAGAAGGGTTGACTTCTTTGATATGTTAATTGTATGTCATGAATATGTACTTCAAGTCAAGCTAATCACCATAAACACTTTGCATTACTTTTTTGTCCATTTCTGAGAGAACACACCATGGTCCTCAATCAGACACGCCAGAAACCTTAGCTCTGTGTTGCCTCATGTCCGTTTCGTCAATATTGTGTATGCACGCTGTTCCCTCTCTCCATCCTGGACAGAGCCAAGCCAGTCTATGGCTGTGCCGAGAGCAATGTGATGATTCGACCTGCAGATGGGGATAAAGTACTTATTCCACACACTCCTGCTGGACAGGAGAATGGGATATATGGTGTAAGTCCAGGACAAAAGGATGATATTATTATTATTATTATTATAGGTATTTATATAGCGCCAACTAATTCCGCAGCACTTTACAATATTTTGAAAAGGGGGGGAATTTACAATACATGAGTCAATTACACAGTGACACAGGAACAATAGGTAGATGAGGACCCTGCTCAAACGAGCTTACAGTCTAGATGAGGTGGGGTACAAACACAACAGGGCAGCAAGGGTGACAGCCACCAAACAAGTTGGAAAAGTAGCAGAGTTTGGAGTAAGCTCTTTATGAGAGAAAGAGACAGACTTGGGTAAGTATAGATAAGTTACTCTGGGAGTAAGATTTGTTTCGAGGGTCTTCTTAAACAATTGAAGACTAGGGGAGAGTCTGATGGAGGTAGGCAGGCTGTTCCAAAAGAAGGTAGCCGCCCGTGAGAAGTCCTGCAAGTACATGTTAGCAGTAAGGGTGCAAGCAGTGGATAGGAGAAGGTCACTGGCAGAGCAGAGAGACATAGGCATATCTATGAATTATGGAATAAATGTTAAGAGGGGCTAGAGTTGGTTAGAGCTTTATAGGTAAGGGTTAGTATTTTGAATTGATACCTATATGATACAGAAAGCCAGTGTAAGGATCAACAGTGGAGTGCAGTATGGGAGGAACGATGGGTGAGAAAGATCAGCCTGGCAGCAGTATTCATTACCAATTGTAGCGGGGAAGTTCGGCTTTTAGGGAGACCAACTAGGAGAGAATTACAGTAATCAATGCGAGAGATTACTTGAACATGAACCAGCTCCTTTGCAGTATTTTGCGTAAAAAGGGGCGGGTGTAGGGCGCAAAGGTGAGGCCAGGATTAAAGATAACACCAAGACAAGGAGCTTGCAAGGATGGACTGATACAAGCACCATCAGCTTGCAGAGAAGGTGAACGAGGAGGATCAGCATTATGAGGGGGGAAAATAAGAAGCTCAGTTTTAGAGAGATTGAGTTTCAGAAAGCGGAAGGACATCCAGTCAGAAATTGAAGAAAGGCAAGCAGTGACACGTTGCAGGATCGCGGGAGAGATATCAGGGGAGGAGATGTATATCTGGGTGTCGTCGGCATACAGATGGTAGCGGAATCCAAAGGAGTTAATGAGTTTGCCAAGAGAGTCAGTATAAAGAGAGAACAGAAGTGGACCAAGAACAGATCCTTGGAGGAAGTTTTGAGGAAAAAGGAAGCAGGGGTATGGGACGATAGTTGGAAGGGGAAGACTGGTCTAAGGATGGCTTTTTTTAGGATGGGTACGACGGTAGCATCCTTAAGGGGAGCAGGGACAACACCAGATGAAAGAGAGCAGTTTAGTATGTGTGTTAAGGATGGTACAAGACAAGGGGAGAGAGATCTGATAAGGTGGGAAGGTACTGGATCAAGCGGACAGGTGGTGGGACGAGAGGAGAAGCGAAGCCACCTCTTGTTCTGTAGCTGGGAAGAAGGCCTGTAGGGTAGGGATGGTGGTACGGTCCATGTGTAGTATGAGTACAGAGTAGTGTATGTGTTTATGTCACACTGTAGTCTGAATAGTTGTGTAACAGAGGTAACTGAAACGTTTGTTGGGGAAGCTGTGTGGGAGAATGCACCACCTACACAGCCAACCCAAAACAATAGTTTACTTCACAAAGCAAACATCCAGAGGCCTTCCATCGACCTAACCAGCGAACAGAAACCCCCCCAAAAACTTCATTTTCATTGCTACCTACCCCCTCCCCTCCTTCCACCTAGCATGGCTCCTGCTTACTTTATTGCAGTCCATCTGTTTGAAATGTCACTCAATTACATCCTTGCTCTGTTTATATGTCACAGGTGGCTCCAATTATCCCTTATATCTCTGGGCCCATCACCTTCAAGCTCTCCTTACTGCCTTGTTTGAACTCTAAATTGTAACCTGTAGATGGTAACATCACAGGCTATCTAGCAAAGTACTTTGAATAAAAGAACCTCAATGATTAGATCTCTCCTTACAGGCAGTGTCCTCTTTACCTTTTGTATCTGTCTGTGTGTTTTTTACTTTCTTTTTGCCAATTGTACAGCATTGTGAAATTAGTTGGTGCTTTAAAAATGCCTGTAATAATAATACTACTAATGATTAATGTGTCCCTGCCATGCTATGTTTGTGGTCTGGTGGCTTGCAGTACCCATTGAGATACAATGTGTATTTGGAACACAAGCTATATGTAGATACATTGTGTCTGTGAACTTATAGTATGCTATGCTGGTTGTTCAAAGCCCTGGGCAGTTAATTTTCTAGCAAGCATCAAACATAACCGTGAGATACAGTTATCAAATTTGGCACAAATCCTGCTTTCAAGAAGTCTGTTTATTTTCACTAATGCTCTTTCACTCATTCAATCTGTGTTGTGTGAATGACGTTTAATGGTAGTTTTATAAGCTTGGAATTTACTGCCACAAGAGTCTGGGGTGGTAAATCCTTATTTACCCCCAAGGCTTCCAATAAAAGTCCATCGCTTTGTATTTCCTAGTAACGAATATAATTAGAGGTTTTAGATGCTGTTTAGTGCTCATTCTAAATCCTTTCAAAGATCTACTCCAAGCGAGGAATTGGGCAAATATTTCAGCCGCGCCTCTGGTATTGTTTTATCATTTTCTCAAATAAACTCCCTTGAACATATAATGGTGCACCATTCTAAAGGAGGCTGGCAACACCCGTGAATATATCTTGTGATTGAATGTTTACAAGAAACGGATTAAATTAAGTTTCCTGTCACAATGCCACATTCAGGGAATACAGACATGGAGCTTGGAGCATGCAGCGCCACATGCAGGATATACATAGGTTGTCATCGGCATATAGGTGGTACTGGAAACCAAAAACGTAATGTGTCACAAGAGAGTATAGAGAGAAAACAGGAGGGCACCAACGACCAAGCCTTGGGGGAGTCAACTGTTACTAAATGAGGGGAAGACGTGTTACCAGAAAAGAGGACACTGAAATTTTTTTGGAAAAGATAGGAAGAAAAACCACAAAAGGACAATGTCATAAATGCCAAGGGTCTTACGATTGTTGAAGGAGAGCGTGATCAACATGTCAAAGGCATCAGATAGGTCTAGAAGAATTAGTATCGAGCTGTGATTAGATCTTTAGTTAGAGCAGTATCAGTAGATGGGACCGTAATTAGATGAGGTAAGGTGGGTTAAAGTGGCTTTTTTTAGGAAGGGTATAACAGTAGCATGTTTAATGGGAGTGGGAACGGTGCCAGAAAAAAAGAGAGCAGTTAAAGATATGTGTAAAGGATGATACAAGTCAAGGGTGGAGGGCTCTGATAATGTGAGAGGAAATGGGATCAGGTGGTGGGGCAAAAGGAGAGAAGTTACCTGCTCAATAACTGTGAAGAAGATCTGAAGGTAGGAGAGGCACAGTTCACGTCAGTTCAAGAGAGAGGAGTAAAGAGGGGAGGAGTCTTTCCTTGACTGATTAATATTGTCAGTAACATAGCAAAGTTATCAGCTGTAAGGTCCGTGTGGGTGGTGGCCATAGCAAGACGAAGTAGCTAGTGGATGGTATCAGAGATACCTAGGATTCTGTTAGTATTACAGATGATCAGCCATCCAATGCTTCCCTGTAGAGAGAAACTAGGGGACACGCAGGACATTTGCCCACTGCCTAAATTAGCATTTCCTCATAGATATGTAATGCATCTCTATGGGGAGATTCAGCATCTTTATGTGCAGCGGGGAAAAACTGAACGTCAGTCCTCCTTAGTTTGCGGGACTGAACCAGGAATGGCTTTTAGTGACACTAGATGTGGCCCAAGGGATAAATGCAAAGATTGTCTTTTCTCAGAGAACAGTGTTTACAAATGTCAGGCTGCAGGGAGATAATCTTGGCACCAGAACTAGCCATAGTATCTCTGGTGTGGAGTGTCCCTTTAACCAAAAACCCAATATCTTACACACTAAAGGGATATGGACATTCCAACACTAAATAGATCAATGTTGCTCTTAACGTAGATTAGAACATGTCAGACATGACCATTCACATCCTCACCTAATGTATGATACGTGGACCTCCTGACTGGTTTCCTGTGACCCGGATAGCACAGACCATGGTCCCAATGTAGTGATTATACATATAAAGCTGCGGAGTGGAATGTGAGAAATGTGTTCTACATGCGAGTAGCTGCTCCATTCCCCTCGAGGGTATCTCCCATATCTATCAAAGGAAGAATTACAGGCCAAAGGCCCTTAGAATTCTGCCAAGTGCACAGTGTCACCTCCCAGCATCAAACAAAATCCTCGGAACTTGTATTTTAGGGAAAGGTGGTGGTGGCATGGAATAGCTTTCCAGTTGAGGTGGTTGTAGTACAATGTGTCCTATTATATGTTTAAAGGCTACTGAATGAGTGGTCTGCACACAGTGCAAGTTCCAATATCTTAAGTTACAGAAAATCTTCATTCTTTTTTTTTTTTTATTTGTGTTGCAGCAGGAGGGTTTCAGTTTTACAGGTTATTTTTTATTTTACTTTTATAAAAACCCTGCATATTCTGTTATTTTTGTTCAGTTTGTATAATCAGCAACTCTCTCCTTCTAGGTCTCTGTGCAGGAAACTTGCCAAATTCTCTAAGATTGTCTTAGCATTATTGAGGATGATGACATGGATAGACCATGATCTCTCCAAATATTTAGACCTCTTGGACCGGTGACATGAGTCTGAGTGGGCGGTTGCGGTGGTGTTGGCGAGGTTATGTGTAAGAATAAGAATGTTGGGGGAGTTCAGGAAACCTGTGAAATGCTGATGTTTAAGGAAGAGGGTCTGATGGAGGCAGTTGTGGTGGGGGAGTAAGAGATGAAAGTGACAGGGATTTTCAGAAAATAGTCTTTAAGGTTGATCTGTAAGAATGAGGGTTGGAAGGGGTGGGGCAGGGCAAGTGTGTGGTGGGGGGGTTACTGGAGCTTTAAATTCCGAGTAAGGTCCCAAAAGGCCCCAGTTGTAATTATGGCACCATTTCAATGCTAGACTCTGTTCTTCTGTAAAGGGTTAATACAGCAGGTGTGGAGTTTAAATATAGATGTAATACTCTAAAGTCATTGAAAGGTTTGGTGTTCCAGTGTGATTCACAGAACATATAGGGGTTTAGGGATAGACAAAGGGCATTGTGTAGGGCTGGTTTTACAGGGGGGGTGTAAGTCAATTTATGTGAGATGAGCAATACAGTTTACTCTTGGGCTGAAGCCCCTGGTCTTTTTACCACCTAGCAATGCCCCTGGGGCTGGGTGTCATGCTGGGGCCTGTGGTTTCCTGAGAAAGATAACACCATTCTGCATTTCACACATAGTTTAGTATTCTGTCATCACTTCGCAAGAAAACAGTCTGTGACACTTGGGACCACGTGATGACTACTGTGCTGCTGCCGACCTATGAATAGTTAAATAAACTGCAGACATGCTAAAGTGAACATGTACTTGAAGAATGAATATATCCAGATTTTATTTTCTTAACTCTGCTAATTTGAAACCCATTACACTATGGCCTGCTGTAAAGTCAACCGATCCCTCTGTATGGTTACATTTTACCATAAATAAAATAAATCTTTTCTAATTGGCATGCGCTCTGTAATGACCTCCCACTGCGCTTGCTAAATAAGTTACAGGTTTAATCAGAGAAAATCATAGCCTGGAGGCGCGGACCCCAAGACATTCTCATCACTGGTTAAACCCCCTACTTAGATAAAACCTTGATTGGTGACCTGGGGATAGAGGGTCTGTTCTTGCAGTATGTAGTCACGGCTTGCTTGGCATATCACCAGATTACTGCCATTCAACACTTACAAGTTGGTGCTGGAATGACCTGCCCAGTGCCCATCCATGTGTAAATATTAGCGTTGCTTTAGCTTTTGCTTGACAAATCTCATTTAGTTTCCATAGCTCCTGGCTGTCTGCTAATTGACCTTTTTTTATTTAACTGAGGTTTGGCTGCTTTGTTTGTGTTTGTATATTAGAACGTCCCTGCGGCCCTCAATGTGGCCCAAGGGATGATAATTTCACAGCCCCCTCCACATTCCCTGGAATGCTCACTCTTTCTTCCCTGGGGCTATACGTTGACCATTACTGCTGACAAGCTGCTAAATGTGACCAGCAACAGAGTGACCCGCTCTGGGTAATGAGTACAGATTTAACCGTAATAGAGAAAACTGGACCAGATGACAAGGACCGCAGCATCCAGTGCAACATGGATGATTAATGATCATTTTAATGAAAGACTAATGATCATTTTAATATGGAAGGTTAATGGACACCTACAGAAGTGATTTCTTAAGAGAGTTGAGGCATTCTCTGGAGGTGCCTGCCTGTGTCTCAGCGGGTTTGGTTGTCTGTCTGTATCAGCAGGTTTGGTTGTTTGTCCATGTCTCAGAGGGTTTGGTTGTGTTTACCAATGTATCAGCAGGTTTGGTTGTGTCTGCCCGTGTCTCAGCGGGTTTTGTTGGGAGTGTCTGCACATGTATAAGTGGGTTTGTTTGGTGGTGTGCCAGTGTCTCAGCAGGTTTGGTTGTGTTTAACAATGTATCATCGGGTTTGGTGGAGTCTGCCCATGTATCAGCAGGTTTGGTGGAGTCTGCCCATGTATCAGCAGGTTTGGTGGTGTCTGCCTGTGTCTCAGTGGGTTTGGTGGTGTCTGCCCATGTATCAGCGGGTTTGTTTGGTGGTGTCTGCCTGTGTCTCAGTGGGTTTGGTGGTTTCTGCCCATGTATCAGCGGGTTTGTTTGGTGGTGTCTGCCCGTGTATCAGCGGGTTTGTTTGGTGGTGTCTGCCCGTGTATCAGCGGGTTTGTTTGGTGGTGTGCCAGTGTCTGTGTTTGGTGGTGTCTGCCTGTAGCGGAGAGCTGGTATTACACAGCCTATCTCCACTTTAGATCCCAGGGAGGCTCAGGAACAAGCAATTATAAATCCATATGGCAAAGTATCCAGCAGGCAAAATAACACAGTAGTATCCCAACAGCAATCCCAATAACTGGACGACACACAGTATCAGGAGCAGAACTAAAGATTTATTCAGACAGTGGCCTTATAAAGCATACTCCCATGCAAGGGAGGGATTTACAGTCATTAACACAGTAGCCAATCCTGTTCTGGTAACCTCCCACACATCTCCTCCCCTCAGCCTGCATCATAATCCCCTTATCCAGGACACGAATTCCCCCCGTTTCTGGATGTACCCCTAAACCTAGGGGTACCGCTTTAAATTATACATCCCCTGGTAGCCGTGATCTGGGTGAACAACATATCCAAAAATCACCCAGATCAGACCAGGGGTTCGGGAAATTTATGGAGGGAATAAAATGACCGACCGCACTGGAAAGAATAGCCGAATGGGGTTCCATGCGATGGGGCCCTGCGGTCGGTCCTGGAGTAAGGGAACAAACTACACGAAAGCCTCCAGTTACAGAGACTAGGGAGGGTTTGCCTGAATCCCCTCGTTCGCTTGTTTCTATCTACCGAACGAGGGGCCGTTCGGTAGTTTGCAACGGGTAATTGAAGGCACACTTCACACAGTGGAGGTCTGACTGTTCAATAGTTTCATTCGATCAAACTAAGGTAATGAAACTACCGAACAATCAGACGAATACAATACATTTAACACATATAACTTTGCCATTTACACGAATGCAGTCAAAACATATGCAATTCTCAGGACAGCCCAGTGCCATCCGCTACACATGTATCAGCGGGTTTGTTTGGTGGTGTCTGCCCGTGTCTCAGTGAGTTTGGTGGTGTCTGCCCATGTATCAGCGGGTTTGGTGGTGTCTGCCCATGTATCAGTGGGTTTGTTTGGTGGTGTCTGCCCATGTCTCAGTGGGTTTGGTGGTGTCTGCCAGTGTATCAGCAGGTTTGTTTGGTGGTGTCTGCCCGTGTATCAGCGGGTTTGTTTGGTGGTGTCTGCCCATGTATCAGCGGGTTTGGTGGTGTCTGCCGGTGTATCAGCGGGTTTGTTTGGTGTCTGCCGGTGTATCAGCGGGTTTGTTTGGTGTCTGCCCGTGTATCAGCAGGTTTGGTGGTGTCTGCCCGTGTCTCAGCGGGTTTGTTTGGTGGTGTCTGTCCATGTATCAGCGGGTTTGTTTGGTGGTGTCTGCCCGTATATCAGCGGGTTTGGTGGTGTCTGCCCGTGTATCAGCGGGTTTGTTTGGTGGTGTCTGCCCATGTGTCAGCGGGTTTGTTTTGTGGTGTCTGCCCATGTATCAGCGGGTTTGTTTCGTGGTGTCTGCCCATGTATCAGCTGGTTTGGTGGTGTCTGCCCGTGTATCAGCTGGTTTGGTGGTGTCTGCCCGTGTATCAGCGGGTTTGTTTGGTGGTGTCTGTCCATGTATCAGTGGGTTTGTTTAGTGGTGTGCCAGTGTCTCAGCAGGTTTGGTTGTGTTTAACAATGTATCAGTGGGTTTGGTGGTGTCTGACACAATGAAATGATTCCACACTGATATCTGACATCTGCCAACGTGATGTCTGACAGCAGAATAAAGAATATCTCTGTTTGCTTTAAAAATGAAAATCTAACAAAGGGAATGAGCTTTTAATGACTTCATTCACTTGTCTATCTTCGTGATGACGCTTGTGATTTATATTCTGAATTTGAATGACACACAAATCAGAAAATGCAGGGGTGAAATTATACTTTTTTTTTTTTTCTTTACTGCTTTTCACTAGGAATGTGTTATTTTAATTTATCCACTGGCTCAAACATATTCTGCAGAGTTGTACAGCACTATATAGGAGTGTGTTGGTGAAAGAAAAAATACACAACACAAAATAATCCGACAGATTAAATAAAGTGCAGAAAGTGACGTTTTGATAAATCTTCTCAATGTGCCCCTCCCAATTAAAGTGCAGTGCGTTATATATTCATTGACTGGGGGGTGTATGTCACATTGGTCACTGTGAGAAATCAACTTTAGTTTACCATAAATAAATTTCAATTTATTTTTTCCAACTAGGTAATAACCACCTCGGAGGGCAAGCAGGGAGCAGATGTGGCCATCAGGAGGGATGTAGTGAAACGGGTAAGTTATTTTTAGTGAATGTTAAATCAGTAACTTGTACAGGTGTGAATTCAAAGTGAATTAAAAGTTCAAGTTTAAGGTCAAAATAATCAAAGTGGAACAATTCTCTGAGTCAGCTACTTTGGTCTTAAATCTGCAATTCACTTTGAATTCTCACTTCACTAAATAACCTTGGTTACAAGGTTGACAGTTGCCTCACCCTTGCTTAATAAACTATATGACCATACAAAGTACATCCCAAGGATCTAAGTGGGAAAGAAAGTTCACAGGAAAAAAAAATAAACAGCTCCCAGTCCCATATCCAAGGCCTAGGAAGGGCATGTACAAAAATGTTTACACAACTTAAATTCCTGGTAATTGCCCAATGAATAGATTCTAAAAATGCAGTTGATTCATAAATGTACTGAATTATCAGAATTAAAATCCTTTTAATCCACACCAAAAAGAGAATTGTGATTTAGGAAATTCAGTTTGTTTGAGAATGAACTGAATTTTTTAAAATCAATTAGTTTGATTACCAGGAATTTTTATTCTGACGAATCACTTAAAGCGAACTGCACATTTCTTGGACGATTCAGAACGTGTGTAACGCCTGGGTATGGCCTGTATTGGAGACGGAGGGGTAATTTCTCCTTATTTATTAAATGCTTGGCAGGTTTACCCTGGAGAGGCCAATAAACCGTGCTATACTTAAGAGCTGTTTAGCGTAAAAAATACATCTCCAACTCCTTTATTTTTCCAGCTACTATCTTAGTCTTGTTAGGTCCCAGGGTACCTATTAAATCCCAAGGGCAGATTTCTATTTATTTTACATTTTATTTAAAAAATAAAAAAAAAACACATTTAAAGGGTTAATCCAAGCACCATGACAACTTCAGTGGTTCATTATTGTTATAAATAAGGATACAATACTAATACATTATGACACTGGTATTAATACTACTAGGGACAATAATACCTTATGGACTAGCAGTCAGTATGTTTTATAGTAAATTGAAATACAATTCCCATGATTCTCAGCTGGTCTAGGTGGCACCCCTTCGTCTAAGAAGCACAGGTGCTAGTTATGACAGACATTTAAGGTTTTCCTGATTATGCTGCATAAGAAAGGAGGGGTTGGGTGGTGTGACTGGGCACAGCGGGCCTCAGTCCTCTGCAGAGACTGGTAAACTGTGTGTGGGTGGTGGTGTGACTTGGCACAGCTGGTCCCTGTCATCTGCACAGACTGGTAAACTTTTTTTTGGTGGTGGTAACTGGGCAAAGTGGGCCACTGCCATGCAGAGAGACTGGTAAACTGTGTGGCTGGGCACAGCAGGCCCCTGTCAGCCACCCCAAATTTCTCTGCCCATGTAGTCTCTCCTTTGACATTATTTTCCTAACCTTACCATAAACCAATGGTCATCAACCATTCTTTACAGAGACCCATATTATGTTTGAAGAAGAAAATTAGCTCAGAGACCCGCTCTTCAATTGAAATGAATATATGTAGTACTTTGAAGAAAACCCCTCATTAGATTCTTCCTCTTGTCAGACCCCATTGAGGTCAGCCATTGGGAACCCACTGAAATAGCATGGGGACAGAGTTGTGGGCTCTGACCATGGCATTTAGAACCAGCTATCCTCTCCTTCTCATACTCTTATTGTTGGGACAGTGTTCTGATACTGTCACCATGGATCTAAGCAAAGAAAACAATATCTATCTTTGGGCGCATCGTTAGTCCATCATGTGCTCTGTGTTTTAGTATGCCTAAAGTCTTACCACGCTACCCCACCCTTTACTGTGCTCCAAATCCAGGCAAGGCTGCATACAGGGCTCTATTCTTATTATTTGGATCAATGGGTGGAGAGCTTAGCAGTGATGTGCATCTGTCAGTAAATTCTTTTATAAACAAAAGCTGTATAATTATGATGTCAAGTAGTTGACAAGTCGCCTAAACACATTTAATAAGGACTTTTAAATTAATCCGGTTTCCATACTTTCTATTAACAGAGTCTAATACCGGCAGACAGCCTCCGGCCGTTAAGGCGTACAAAGCGAAGATGGGTCCTCACTACGTTTGTCTTGAAGGAGAATGATGGAGGAAAATTCCCCAAAGTTGCTGGTGATGTAAGAACTAAGTGACAATGTGAAATGAATGACTGCTTGCAGCCTGCTAATTCATCCATGTGTCTGCCTTTACAGCATTTCCTATCTCATGCTATCAATCTAGTAACAGGCAGTCCCTTCCCTGAAGGCACAGATTGACAGATCTGGAGAGCAAAAAAAAAATGGAAAAGCCAAATATCTGGAGAGAATCTATATATTAGTTTGAAGTATACTCCTACCCAGGAAAACAAAGTATCTTCTCTGTGTCAAGTCCTTTCAGCATTTCTGAATTACAGTAGCAGAGCCTCTAGGGAGGGGAACAGAAAACCCCTCATAATGAAATGATTTCACAATTGTTTCATCCAATAACAAATTATTTCACCCAGTAACAGAGTAAATGGTCCACATTGGTAATGATATTGGTAAAATCTGGGTTTAAAATATTTTAGATTGGTTACACTATCTGTACCTTCATCTCCTCCTGTTGGCAGAATTAAAAGCTGTGTTTTTATACCAAGCACCATTTCACTGAGGCCAAAATGACATCTTGTTAGAGAGTGCTGTTATGACAGCAGCCAAGTCTGAAATTAGAATGGCAGCGGGTGAGAGTGGGTTTAAGATGAGAAAATTTGGTCGGTGTTACTACTACTAGAAATCCCAATCTGTGCAGTAATGATGTATAATATGTGCAATATCTTTATTGCAAAGAATGCGACAAATGTCTTGAAACTATTTAAAATGTAATTAATTAATTGATATAATCTTGACAAATGCTAAGTGAATCTGTTCTAGTGTATTTGAGCCCCTGTCCCTTACCTTTTCACCAGTGAACTTGATACAACGTCCCTTCCTTTTTATTATGTTTGGCAAGGATATTTTTGAAAGAGGATTTGTACTGTACATGGGAATATTTCCCTGTGATTTGGCTTTTCCACTGATATAGTGGAGTTTCGGCAGTCTCTGCACACATACAAAGCATGGATTGTTTGGTTTTCTCACCCACTATAAGATGGCACAAAGGTTTATTTTATTTTAAATGTGTCAATGTCAGTCTGTTATCCCAGGCACTCAGAACATCGCTCTCATTTGTGAACTATTCAGAACAAAATCCCAGCGCTTTGTCTGGGACGTTAAGGGGGATGCACTTGTTACTAATAAGCACAGCTTTCTCCTGTGTGTCACTGTGTTGGGATCTGCAATATAAGCACGCCAAGAAATTGCATAAAACATTTTGAAAACCTGTTTTGTTTGCGATGTGGATGGGATGCATGATATGTTATGGTTTTGTTTTACAGTTGAATGTTTTTCGTTACGAAGGCTGATTGCATTTCATCAAGGTTTTCATTTAAGTGATGATGTATCTCCGATATGACATGCATGTTTGTTTTGGTTGTAATAAACCACGGATAGCGCTTTAGAGCGGAATTATTCCGCAGGTTGGGTTGGAGTGTAGAATGCTGGGTATAACGGATGTGAGTGACTAGAAAACCAATACCATTTGTTATCTCAGTAAAATATATTTATATATTAAACCATGATTTTCATAGTGCTAAACTGTGCATTATCTGCAGCTCTTTAATGATCAAGCAGTCAACATGTCCATCAAGTATCTCATCAGTGGTCCAGGCGTGGATGTGGCTCCAGAGATCGGACTATTCACCATTGATGACCAGACTGGCCGTGTCTTTGTTCACCGAACCATTGACAGGGAGAAGACGCCTTTATTTGTGGTAAATACAAAACACATCTCTCATTCTCATACAAAACCCCCTGAGGTACTGTGATCTCAATCCCTAGCCAAGTAATGCACACAATTACAGCATTATCCCATAACCTGGGAACATCCCTGTTAAGTTGGTGATAGCTGAGTTCCCAGTGGGAGGTTTCTTTGTAGAGATATTTGCCCTACCAGATGTTACAGTTACCAGGAAATGCAAACACTGCTCGACTTACAGTGAAGGGTTAATTGACTGTTGGATTATGGCTGTCTGGCTCTAAATCCAGCATTCTTTGAAAACAAAGGGGATGTTTGAATTTGTTACAGATCTGCTTTGATGCTGCTGAGAGATCCACGGGCCTCATAGTGGACAGGTCTCTAATCTTTAATATCGAAGTGGAGGATGTGAATGACAACATTCCTGTCTTCACCAAACCGGTGTATGAAATTTCCATGAAAGAAACAGGGAATCTCGGTGAGTTTGATAAAGGCATCTACCATGGGGAGTATGTGTAAACTGAACTAGAGGGTGTAGGAGTACAAGGGCTGCGAGATACTTCTATCCGAGACACAGACTCACCAGACACTGAGAAAAGAAAATCCACGAAAAAATAAAGGATACTGTCATTTATTAACTTGAATTATTGTGATTGTACTGTGTGTCTGTGCACAAAAGCATCTGTAATTAACAGTATTGTACATGCAATGTTGTCATTCCCCGTTACATAATCATATGGTATTCAGTCCATTTCCCCCTCCCACTCTCATTTGTTAACTCTACCTTTAAGGGAGAAATGCCAACCTCTGTACCTACTTGCCCCTTGGATTATGGAAATTATTGAAATTAGCACTGATTGTGATTGACAAGTTAAAGTGTGCCTACATTAATGTGACTTTAGCTTTCGTTTCTTCCGGTTTCCTGACCAGATAATCCAATTATGCAAGTGATGGCAGATGACTATGACAAGCAAGGCACCCCAAACGCAGAGGTGACTTACAGTGTGTTAACCGTAATGCCTGCGCTCCCCTCTGTGAAATTCACTATTGACCCTAAACATGGGCTGATTCGAGGACAGGGCTGTCTGAACTACGAGGTATGAGCTGTGAAGCAACCTGTAAAGGAAGTGCTGCTTTTAAACGTCACTTACTGCCATTATTAAACTCCTCCCAGAGTGGGTGTCTCTTATTTTCAGAAACTGAGAGGTTCAGTCTTTATCTTCCAGACAGCCAATGTGATCAAGATAATCGTGGGTGCACGTGACGGTGGGGAACCGTCACTGTCTTCCACGGCAACAGTTATTCTACAAATCAAAGATGGGAATAACCACTTGCCAGTGCTTCCTACACCCAACGTAAGTTTATCTGTCTTTACTCAAAGGTGCCATTTAGTGTCCCTGCAACAAGCACGCATATATCTGTGAATATTGCATAGCAAACGCTTCCCTACACTTTTTTTGTTATGTCTGTTGAGGTTGGTTTGTGCTTCAGAGCATGCGATGTACTGTCATTTTGTGAGGTGCCACTTTTTAGAGCAAGTAAAATAACAAATTTTTTTCCCCCTACAGTATAACCTAACTGTTAAGGAGGGAGAAGTGATAAAGGAGCTGTTGCGCATAAAGGTAGAAGATAAAGATTTGCCTCATACTCCTGCGTGGCAAGCCAAATTCAAACTATTAACCGGAAATGAGAATAACAATTACAACCTTACAACCGATCCAATAACAAACGAAGGAGTTTTGGACATCATTAAGGTAAGTGTATTGCATCCTACAGGAACTCTACCCTCAAAGCTAGGGGACAATACTGTGGATAGCCAGGGCAGAGCATGGCAGACTAGGTTACCCAGCTGACATCAGAATGTCTGCCGTGAGGTGATACATGTCCGATATGAATGCTGGGGAATATTATTATTATTATTATTTATAAAATATTTTACCAGGAAAGATACATTGAGATTTCTCTCGTTTTTAAGTATGTGCTGGGTCCATAAAACATTGCATTGTTACATTAGGGTACAATAAAATACAAAAACAATATTAATACACAACATATACAAAATTTAACATAGAACAGGTAGGAAATATATAATCAACCATGAGACGTGCATTCTGTTTTGAGGTATGTAGAGAGGGATCTCTTAAAGGAATTTAGGCTTGGGGAAGATTTTAAATTGTGCGGGAGGTCGTTCCACAATTGTGGTGCTCTGTAGGAAAAGGAGGATCGGGCTGCTTTCTACATTAATAAATTCAGCATGAGATCTGACAAACTGGAAGGTATTCTGACAGGATGTATCCATCCTGGTAAAATATTTTATAAATAAATACATTTTTATTTGTCAATACTGCTTTTTTCTAAGTGAGAGCGAATATGTGGTGCAAATTTGGGCAACGTTTTAAAAAAAGAATATTGCAGAGGCAAAATACAAAACTATTAAGGGGAAAGGAAAACATCAGTTATGAGAAGAAAACAAACTGATTTGTTTGTAAAGATAAAGGCAGAGGGAATGCGATATCCCTACACAAATATTTACAAGATCAGTACAAGCTATTTGCTGACCTGTTCATTAGCAGGAAATGCAAGAGACAAGAGGTCACCCTTTGAGACTGGAAGAAAGGGGATTTCACTTATAGCATAGGAAAGAGATCTTTACATAAAGAACAATAAAGATGTGGAATTCTCTACCTAAAGAGTTTGTGTTATTCGATTCCATAGATACATTTAAAAAAAGGATTGGATGCTTTTATGCAAAACCTGAATATTATTCAAGGATATCATTGTTCTGTATGTAAACAGGTTGTTAATGTAAGGAGAATATGATTGCCATAATGGATTCAAGAAGAAATGTCTTTCTCCTTTTCGTGGCATAATTGGAAATGGCCACAAATTGTTTGTTTTTTATTTTGCCTTCTTTTGGATCAACAGCATAAAATAATGTGTTTCAAGGATAAACTGGATGGAATTTTGATTTTTTTCAACCTAGACAACTTTGTAGTTTCTGCATTGACCCTAAACTTAGTGAATTTCCTTATTTTGCAGTCAAAGACGAGGGTTTTACCAGAATTTTTACATTTTAATAAACCGCATATTGTATACTACTGGTGTTAAAAAGCTGTACTTCTGCCCTCTGATTCCCCCTGCTGCCTGTTTTTGGGCACAACACTTGTGCATGGCTAGCCTCTGTGTGCTACAGCCAGAACTCCAAGCTTAAAGCAACATTCAGACATGAACAAAATCACCCTCCACTCGCTTTTTCATACATTATGAAAACAAAAAAAAAATTAATTCAAAGACAAATACTTGACTGTAATGTTTCTGCTTTGAAGACTCTTCAGTCAGACTCTTCAACGTGTCTGTTGCATTTTATAGCTTTTCTGTGGGAAGCATTTTGCAAGCACAGTAGGCTTCATGGAACTCGGCACAAGCACAGCACTAGCAGATAGTCTGATATTGGAGTTAATTTGGAGGCCAATCCAATATTTCCTCATAAGGAAACATTGGGAGGCTTGTGCATATGCATGACAAAACGCCAATCTGCACCAATCCGATGGTCTCTGTGAGACTGATTGAAATTGCAGAGTTTAAACTTGTCTATAAGGAAGGAAGCACAAACTGTGGCTATAAGTAGTGATATCCTCACCATGTGAATCCACTTGTTTAATAATCTAAATACATGTGAGCATTGACCATACCAGAGAAGCATGGTAGCGTTTTCCAGGACTGCATTAAAAGGCAGTTTACTGGGAATAGGGCTGAATCTTGTATATTGGGAACTTGATGTCACTTCATTTTGTTTTTTCTAGCCCTTGGACTTTGAAGGAACTCCTTACAAAACACTACAAATATCTGTTGAAAATGAAGAGCCTCTATTTGTGTGCGATAAGACAAAACTTCGGCTTAGCACCTCACCTGCGCTAAGCAATGGGACTATCACTATATTAGTTAAAGACATAAATGACGCGCCCATATTCCATCCTCCAAGTCAAACTGTCCGAGAGAAAGAAGGTCTGAAGTCAGGGACTGTGATTACAAAGGTCAATGCAACCGATCCAGACAAAGTACCCAACAAAATCAGGTAGGCCAGCTTTCATGGAAAGCCAAGGGTGACTCTCAGTCTCCTAATACTCCCCTCTCCTAATACTCTCACACTCCTAATCTGGGTTGCTATAGTGGGAGATGGAAAAATTTCAGGGAAAATTATTTCTTTTTTTCTTTTTTTTAAAGCCAGTTCTTCATGTAAAAAAAAAAAAGTTGAGATTGGAATATGTTCTTTTACAACCATAATGGATATGTTCATAGCATGGTGGTTATATATTTAAACATCCAATATTTCTACAACCTATATAACGTGACTTTTATGAAAGACTTTAAAGTCTCAAATCATTGCAATTCCTGTACCCTGAAGACAATTCAAATCCTAAGAAGGTACCGAGGATGCAATTCTCCAATAAAAGATCTGTGCATTTTGACTCATGGGGAAATGCAGGGGAAAGGGTTTTAGTTTTGTTTTGCTTGCGGGCTCCATCCTGTTGGTATAATATAGGTCATTGAGTTGTTCTTGTCCTCTGTAAATTATTCTGAAAATGTAACTATATTTAAACTGCATTGGTTTCTTATTAACCTTTTATCTAAATGATGAAAGAATTCGTACTTCTGTTTCCTTTGATGCAACCCCTTCCCCATCACAGCATCCGAGGTTATTTACTAAAGTGAGAATTCAAAGTGAATTTCAGATTTAAATCCAGAGTAGCCAAACCAAAAGTATGTCTGATTTAGAGTATTTTGTTCAGTTTGGATATTTTCACCTTAAAGGACCACTATAGTGCCAGGAAAACATACTCGTTTTCCTGGCACTATAGTGCCCTGAGGGGGCCCCAACCCTCAGGGACCCCCTCCCGCCGGGCTCTGGAGAGAGGAAGGGGTTAAACACTTACCTTTCTCGAGCGCCGGGCGGGGAGCTGTACTCCTCCTCTCCTCCTTGCTCGCATTCAGCCGGTCGCATAGGAAAGCATTTACAATGCTTTCCTATGGACACTTGCGTGCTCTCACTGTGATTTTCACAGTGAGAAGCACGCAAGCGCCTCTAGCGGCTGTCAATGAGACAGCCACTAGAGGCTCTGGAGGCTGGATTAACCCTCAGTATAAACATAGCAGTTTCTCTGAAACTGCTATGTTTATAAAAAAAAAAAAGGGTTAATCCTAGAGGTACCTGGCACCCAGACCACTTCATTAAGCTGAAGTGGGCTGGGTGCCTAGAGTGGTCCTTTAAATTTGAAAATCACTTTGAATTCTCCCTTTACCAAAAAAACCTGTTGGTGTATACCTGTAATCTGCCCACTAAATGGTTATTTTTTTATTTTCTCCTCTCAGTAGAGACCAACATCTGACATCTAGAAACCTTTACACTGCAATTTCTTGTGTGAACAGAAATCTCAGTACCAGAATGAAAACACATCCTTGCAGGCCAGACGTGCCCTAAAGGCAATAAACACTCTTAGTGGAATTAAATGAAAAGGAATAAAATCAGATTCGTCTCACATAGAAAACTGGCCAATACTCCCCTTAAGGAAAAACTCACTGCTAGAGAACTCTAGCTCTCTCCTACTGATAGCCGAAGCCCTTGTGGATGTCGGCTTGACCGCCGGGGGCTTTGCCATCCTTTTTTATTAAAGCGCCGTCTCATGAAATAGATACTTTAATAAAACAGGACTACGGGGGACTAAACACCCTTAAAGCACTTCAGCGACCAAATACTACGAGGGTCTTCCGAGTCTGGACTGGCTCTCTAATGGAAGTTATTGGTTTCTCTCTCTCTTCGGTGCTATGAATCATTAGGAGGATTAAAGGAGACAAAATGTTCTCTTTATATTGATGCTTTGTTTGGATTGTCATTGAGTTTTTTTGAGGTGCGGGGGGGGAGGGTGGCAGCCTAATTATATGTACTGGCAAATCATATTCCTTATAGTTCAAGTGTTAACATATTCACAAACATTTGTTTATCTGCGGAATAAGCTGTGCTTGTATTTCAAACAATTCTACACACGATCACTTTCAATATCTACATTCCTCCCTCCTCCCCCTCAAAAAAATAAAATGTTTCCTGGAAATTAATTTCTAGTTCACTTTCCTTTGTGTATTGTATATAGTGGAATATGCTGAATATTTCTCACTTACATTTTCAGTCAACCCAGATGGCAATAATTGGCAGAGAGAGTGGGCTATCTTGCTCTCAGCCAATCACCACTGTCCAGGTTGGATGAAATGGATGTTAATGTGGATGGATAAGTTCCATATTGGCAATATGTCAGAGGAGAGAGCAGTGTCTGGGTGCCAGGGAAAACCCAATTTTTGTCTCTAATCGCTCCAAAACTGTCTGATATAGAACGAGGTGATAACTATAAAGAATTCACTGAGACGCGATACTTGGTTTTCATTTTTTCTATCTTTTAACCCTAAAACCCATACAGGTATAAGATAGGCCACGATCCTGCAGGTTGGGTGACTGTGGATGAACTGACTGGAGAAGTGAAAACTGTGCAAGTACTGGACCGTGAATCTCCAGAAGTTAAGGGAAACTTGTATACAGTCGTCGTACTTGCTGTTGATGATGGTAAGAATTACCTTTATGGTCAGTAATTTATGTACTCCATCTACAGTGACATGAACTACTTCTACCAACAGTCAGTGTGCACTCCACCCACAGTGACCTGAACCATGTGTGCTGACAGTCACTGTACACTCCACCCACATTGACATGAATCACGGGTGCCGATAGTCAGTGCACACTTCACCTACTTTATATGTACCACATTTTCCTTTCATGTTCTTTGTCTGAGAGCTGGATCACAACAATTCCCACTTGGTGGGTCTGTTCTAGGAACTTGCATTGAGCACCTGTTTCTGATTCTCGAAGCACACGTGACCTCGTGTACCTCATACTTGGTATAAGCATCAAAACAACTTTAGCTAAGTAAAGCACTTTTTGTCTATAGATTATGCCCCTGCAGTCTTATTTCTCAAGTCTCTGCCAGTTAGGAACAATTTTTTTTTCTATCCATGCAGTCTTATCAATTTTAATTAGACCTTACTTTAGAAGTTTTTATCTCGTGCCCTGTAAATTTAACTTTATTCACACACATGAAGCTCTTGCAGGGTCTAGCAAACTTAAAATAAAGGGCAAAAGGAAATTCTGAATTAGACAGACTGTGCAATAAAGGAAGTGTAAACTTTAGATGACTCTTTATAGGAAGTATTTAGCAAGGCTGTGCAAGTCAAATGAAGGGAGGTGTGCATAGAGCTGCATAAACAAAGTAATTTAACTCCTAAATGGCAGAGACTGCAGGGGCATCATATATACACTAACACTGCTTCATTAAGCTAAAGTTCTTTGGTCACTTAGTGTACCTTTAAGACACATTCCATATAATTTTGGAGCTTCATTTACAAAAAAGAGGAATATCTGGATTTTAAGGAGACTGGTCTGTTACTTGTGTGGGTCTTCAGTGATTGCAACAGGCTCTACAAGGAGCAGCCCCCCATAAGTTTACTGTAGGGTCACTTTGTCTCAGTGCAGCAGAGGCCCCTTAGAATTACAAATAATCGAATTAATGTATTTGCAAAATTAATGTTACTGTTCATTATGGAACACTTAAAAATCACTGAGTTAATATTCCAAATGAAGTATAGCTTGCTGGGCCAAGCCATGAATGTCATTTGGGGCAAGGACACAAAAAGATAAAGCAGCATTGAAGTGCAATGAAATTAAACCAGTTTTCTCTGCGTTGTGAACATATTTAACTAATCCCACCAGGAAATCATATTAAATGATTAATCAACCTCTGCAATTCTAGCCGTGGTAAAGGTTGATTGTGGCATACTGCGCACTGTGTCCACACCGTTCTCTTCTTTCTGTCCAGGGGAGCCGCCACAAACAGGAAGCAGCACTGTGAGTCTCTACTTGTCTGACCTTAATGACAACATACCAAAACTAGTTACCCCGTACGTGGAACAGTGCGAGAGTCTCAGCAAGCAGCCATTCACTGTACAGGCAGAGGACAGCGACATAGATCCATTCTCGGGGCCATTCACATTTGAACTAGGGGATACTTCTCGAGCTTTACAAGAGACCTGGAAAGTTGGAAGGAGCACAGGTTGGTTTTAATGTTTACGTATACTGGTGTTTGGAATGTGTGTGAATGGGAGGGTTGTTCAAGGAAGTTATATTTTACTTTTTAATATATTGCGGATAAGCTTTTGGATACATGGAGTGGATTTTGTTTCTGGTATGAGTTCTTAAAAAAAGATATATTCATTGCACCTTGCAAAAACACATGGGTGTGACCTGCTGGAGGGAAAATCAGACAAACATTTCACACCCGTACTCCCAGAGCTTCTCAAGAAAGGAGAATGTGGTTCTGGGGCTTTTTAGTGCCTGAACATGTCACATCTATGAATCCGTAAAAAGGAACTATGCTGACACTGTTTGCAACTGTAGATACTTCTACATCAGGTGTGGAAAGGAAATAGATTTGTTTTTAAATGATGTATATACAAAAGGTAGGGAAATTAGTTTTGTTGGGATGGGGGGGGGGGGATGTGGTTTACTGTGAAAGGATCTTTCAGTCATTTACATGAATCTGCAGTTAGACAGTGTTTGCTAAAGTGTAACATGAATAAAAGATGACATACATAAATCAAAGTGCAGATTTTTATAGAAATTGTAGATGTTACAAATTAACCTTGTTACATCCACCTGGCTGTCAATCAGACAACAGGTCCTTTTACTTCCTGGTTTGGTTAGCTCAGTTGAGCTAAACGCAAGAGGCAGCAATTGCCCAGAGCATCTGCCTTGTAAAGACTTTTCATTGAGCTGCATTGGGCAGTCTGTGATTGGACAGCCACAGAAAGTCTGGGTGGGGTTAGAAGGGGAGGGCTTGTAAAGGCTGCAGACAAGATCTGCAGCTTTTACAAGCTGGTTTTAGATATACCACCGAAAAATAAAATATATAATTAAATGGATGTATGTTTTCATTGGGGGTGTATTTATTAAACAGTCATTTGTATTTTGGCAGCTGTGCCTTTCTGCCAGTTGTTTTTCATGGAAAGCACTGCAATGTATTCCTCCACCCCAGTGTACATTCCTGTTTCCTTATTTTCAGGAGATTCAGTCGAACTCTCAATGCTTCAGAATATGCCACGAGGGAACTACACCGTGCCTCTGACCATATTTGACAGACAGGGCTCTGGCAGCACACAAACGCTATATGTCCGGATTTGTGCCTGTCCAGATGGGGTAACCTGCGAAAAGATGCAACCTCCTGAACATTACATGGGTGGAGGGGCTATTGGAATTATATTTGCAGCTTTACTTCTGTTTTTGTGTAAGTGTTACTTTTTGTTCAGTTTATTGTTTAATATGGGAATGATTAACGTGTAACTGTAATCCTCTTCTGGAATGACTACCTAGATAAAGATGGCTGCTCGTCAGTTTGCCCCTGTGTGCACCTCATGCGTAAAGATGAAGAAAATTTTGTGACATTCCTTCTCTGCCCTCCAAATGAAACACACTCAAACAGAACATGAGTTCCTGTATATAGACCCTTTCTCCATATTTCACCCAGACACAAGATTACTGGTGTTTGCTGTAGATGCCCGAATCTCTAATATTCCCCCAGCCATAAGGCTGACTGCAGAAATCCTAATCCTGCCCCACAATCAAAACCAATAGTGGGTTCATGCATAGCCTCTAATCCCCTCCACCCACACCCCCATGAGATTACCAATGGGTAAATGCTGTGGCCTTAATCCAATATCCCGCCGACCCTCCACCGTAAGACCACCAGTGAGTACATGCAGGCGCCCAAATCTCCCTCAGCCAAGAGATTACCATTGAGTATGTGCCAAGGATCTAATCGCTCTGTTGTTTCTGTTTGAATTTCCATTAGTGGCCCTGTGTCTGCTAATGTGCTTTGTGTGTAGCTCTGGGAAGAAGCAACGTGGAGCCTTTTTGCCGTATGATGAGGGAAACCAAACTCTGATAAAGTATAACGAAGAGGGTGGAAGCGTTCTTTCTCAGGTAAATCCACAGCGTGAATACCATCACAGAGCAGTGTACTAGTCTAGGGTCACACCTTGTAAGGATGCCTAGCAGTGAATCAGGTTCTCCTGGTCATAGATCACCTCTCTTCACACTGTTAATATTTTATTATTTCCGTCATTTCTATATTACAAACATATGCTGTAATTCTTTTAAATGTGGGGATCCAACAGAAGAAAAAAACAAAACAAAACTTGCAAGTGTTAACAAGAAGTTTGTTATTGAGGGCGCTGCTCCCCCTAGAAAAATGAAAACTCAACTGAATTGCTTGGGAATCTTTTCTTGATTATTGAATTGCTTTACTTCTTGTAGGATTGAACTCCACATTTCTTCTGTCTGCTTGCCGCAGTGTATGGAGTCCGCGTTCCGCCTGTCTGCTTGCCGCAGTGTATGGAGTCCGCGTTCCGCCTGTCGCCGTGCCCCAGTGTATGGAGTCCGCGTTCCGCCTGTCGCCGTGCCCCAGTGTATGGATTCCGCGTTCCGCCTGTCTGCTGGCCGCAGTGTATGGAGTCTGCGTTCCACCTGTCTGCTTGCCGCAGTGTATGGAGTCCGCGTTCCGCCTGTCTGTTTGCCGCAGTGTATGGAGTCCGTGTTCCGCCTGTCGGCGTGCCCCAGTGTATGGAGTCCACGTTCCGCCTGTCTGCTTGCCGCAGTGTATGGAGTCCGCGTTCCACCTGTCGGCGTGCCTCAGTGTATGGAGTCCGCGTTCCTACTGTCGGCGTGCCCCAGTGTATGGAGTCCACGTTCCACCTGTCGGCGTGCCCCAGTGTATGGAGTCCCCGATCCGCCTGTCGGCGTGCCCCAGTGTATGGAGTCCGCGTGCCCCAGTGTATGGAGTCCGCGTTCCGCCTGTCGGCGTGCCCCAGTGTATGGAGTCCGCGTTCCGCCTGTCGGCGTGCCCCAGTGTATGGAGTCCGCGTTCCGCCTGTCTGCGTGCCGCAGTGTATGGAGTCCGCGTTCCGCCTGTCTGCGTGCCGCAGTGTATGGAGTCCGCGTTCCGCCTGTCTGCGTGCCGCAGTGTATGGAGTCCGCGTTCCGCCTGTCTGCTTGCCGCAGTGTATGGAGTCTGCGTTACGCCTGTCGGCGTGCCCCAGTGTATGGAGTCCGCGTTCCGCCTGTCGGCATGCCCCAGTGTAAGTGTATGGAGTCCGCCTTCCGCCTGTTGGCGTGCCCCAGTGTATGGAGTCCGCGTGCCCCAGTGTATGGAGTCCGCGTTCCGTCTGTCGGCGTGCCCCAGTGTATGGAGTCCGCATTCCGCCTGTCGGCGTGCGCGTGCCCCAGAGAATGGAGTCCGCGTACCGCCTGTTGGCGTGCCGCAGTGAATGGATTCCGCATACCGCCTGTTGGCATGCTGCAGTGATGCCTTTCCAGGAAAACTTGCTTGATCTGGCACTGCAGCGGTCTATAGCCTCAATAACTGCCATATTTTACATTTATTTTTAAACTTGTTTTCTTAACTGGAAAATAGCAGAGTGTCCAAAGTATCTTACAATATGTTCCTACGTAGCTGGAAGTGCTAAGAACTGTGGATAGGGTCTGTGATACCTTAAAGGAACAGTACATTGTTTAAATACCCCTACCGAAGGCATTGAAGTGTTACATGCATGTGTGACGGACCACCTGCCACCCCGACTGGGTGCCTCCGTCGAACGATGCTCCTAGTGCTCACCAAGGACCATCAACACAGCACTCAACACCATAACCACCGCAAACCCCACTAACCGCCACAGCTTGGTTGGGGTTTCGCTGTCCTCCACCCACATTGGACCCAAACCAGGCTCCAGCTTCCAGTGGGTGAACCTTTCCTTAGTCCAGAAAGCGAAACAGGAACAGCTCTTACAAGAGCTAGTGATTATACTCTGGGGAGTATTGTGATTATAGCAATCCCCAGAGTGTAGTTCTCCAATCCCCCAAACATGAGCCAAGACTTCATGAAGGGTAGAACACTTCTGTTTAATGTCGGCACTCACAATTTATACAGTTCCTCAGGCCAGAGGCACACCCCCTGGACCTGATGGAACACAGGCACACAAACCAATCCGAATACAACAATGTCTGACACTCCCACATACAGCACACAAGCCCTCCCCTCTGCCTGTGATACAATTAACTAAGACAATGGACTAACTCAATTAACTCTAAGCAGAAAAAAAACATACATTTTTACAAACCTCCAAAAGTACCCCAAAATACAACATATCACCCCAACCCCCTCAACATAGCCCCGATCTGGGTGAACAACATATCCAAAAGTCACCCAGATCGGTTCAGGAATTTCCTGGAAGTCTTATTTTTTTCCCCACCGTGCACATGGTCCCATGCCCAAAACAGTTCCATACACTCGTCTGCAAAACTGCTGGACAATTTATGATGGCCGCCGCCATGTTTGAATCTGTTCCAGTTAAAAGTCCAAGGGGCAGAAACAGTGCCTTTAAAATCCAATATGCCCAAATAATGTTTTTAAAGGGCGATATATCCCAGGGGCCATAGTCACAGGGCAAGAGGCTGGCAAGCAGGCTTCTCCAAATCCCAGTGACAAAGTTGCTTTCGTCACAGTTTTCTTTCGTGTTATATGAAGTGCTTTGTGAGTCTGGGGCACAACTGGAAATTATTTTTATTTTATTTTATGGGCTCACTACAATCATGTTGAAACCTACATTGCAGCCATTCCTCTAGCCTTGTAATGACGACACAGCAGTATCAATGATCTAAACTGATAATGTGTGTGATTGTTTACAGACAAGCCCTGCTGTACTTGTTGCCAATGGAAACGGTAATATGGAGTTTATGACCAAGGTAAGCTCCCCCCACCCCCTGCATTTAGCACAGAGTGCATGCATACACTTGGAATTATGGCACATTGCGAATTGTATTTGAATAGCATGATGTCCCTGTTCGTGCAGGAAGCAGTCTTTACAGATAAAAGGATCTTTTAATCTACGTTTTGTTAACATATTCTGTGACACATTGCACAGTTAACTCACAAATTCTCAATTGTATTACAAGCCTAATGGCAAAGTTGAGGCTAAATTAGCTGGAAAAGTTATTCTACTTAGAAATCTGAGGCTAAAACCTCCAAGCTCTGCATTTTGCGGTTTGCTACAATCCTGAAATTCATGTATAATCTCAATGATTACATACGTGAAAGTGATCGGATATCGACATACCTTTTACATTTTCACTTTAAATTAAAGTGGATTTATAAGCGTTTACAGATGGTTCACACATTGGGCAAACCAGCGCCATTTATAGACAGGCTGTAAAAAGCTAATAAAGGCATACTAAAACACTCATTGTTTGTTTAACACAGCTTTTCATTTATTTATTTTTTAGGATAAAGGTGCAGTTGGACATCCTGCTCCAATTCAACGCGTGCAGAGTGAATTCTGGGAAAGAGTGAGTGTCTGCTGTAATAAACATTACTCTGTCGGTCAGGCCATATATTGGGTTCATGCTGTCCAGCCCATGTTTAAAAAGGGAGGAGATTTTGTATATTATATTGAGTTCTTAACACACTCTGGACAATCTTAAAATTCTGTTAAGGGAATTTGTAGACTTTGGAAGGGTAAAGGGGTGTGAAATCACATGCACTCTATGAAATATAGAGCAGATGGCAGCTAACATGGTTATCCACTAAACTTTGGATTTTTGCTAATTGGTGGTAAAAATTGATGATAGCAAAATTTTCTACTGTAGTTACAGCCTGACTATTTTTGGCACAGTTTTAGTGAATAACGGATTGTGTTCAGAATTCTGCCACATTAGCCTGCACTTTCCATCCTATAGAGACAATCCAAGCGCTGTAAACATCTAGTGGTAGTTATGGTGGAATGAAGCTAATGAAATGTTATAGGAAGTAAAAACTTTGATATAAAATTAAAGAGTGATCCTCATTAAATTGTCACAGGTTAATGAGTCACTCCACTGCCCAGGAAGAAGGAGAAAAAAAAAAAAAAGCCCCAACCAGACTTTATGTGGCTGTCCAATCTTTCCAGGTGCTCCAGATAATCGCTGCCTCTTGAATTTGGCTCCACTGAGCTAACCAAACCAGGAAGTAATAGGACCTGGTGTCTAACAGATGGAAGTGGGGGAGGGGGGATGAAACTAGGTTAAATTATTTAAAGTGCCAATTTCTATTGATATCTGCTCTTGTAAAATTAAAGAGGGGGCACAAGGCTGCACATAGAGACTCCTTGCACTTTAACCATTGCAGTGATACAATGAGCAGTTATGTTGGAGAGTAGTTTTAATGTTTGCCTTGATTAGTTCTATGAATGAAGTTGCGTAACCTGGACTACAGAGTCAGGACCAGGGAGTTTATTTATTTATTTTTATTATTATTAATTCCTGGAGGATGTAAAGTTTCAAGATTTATATGAAGTTATCTGAAATACAGACTGGTTTATTAAACTATCATTTTAATGTAGGTGTTATGTTTAAAGGTCTTAACCTATTCGAATGATGCTGCCCTGATGTTCTAGGCGTGAATTTACACTATGCCAGCCATTCTATTGAGACCAGGTGTGAATTTACACTATGCCAGCCATTCTATTGAGACCAGGCGTGAATTTACACTATGCCAGCCATTCTATTGAGACCAGGCGTGAATTTACACTATGCCAGCCATTCTATTGAGACCAGGTGTGAATTTACACTATGCCAGCCATTCTATTGAGACCAGGCGTGAATTTACACTATGCCAGCCATTCTATTGAGACCAGGTGTGAATTTACACTATGCCAGCCATTCTATTGAGACCAGGTGTGAATTTACACTATGCCAGCCATTCTATTGAGACCAGGTGTGAATTTACACTATGCCAGCCATTCTATTGAGACCAGGTGTGAATTTACACTATGCCAGCCATTCTATTGAGACCAGGTGTGAATTTACACTATGCCAGCCATTCTATTGAGACCAGGTGTGAATTTACACTATGCCAGCCATTCTATTGAGACCAGGCGTGAATTTACACTATGCCAGCCATTCTATTGAGACCAGGTGTGAATTTACACTATGCCAGCCATTCTATTGAGACCAGGCGTGAATTTACACTATGCCAGCCATTCTATTGAGACCAGGCGTGAATTTACACTATGCCAGCCATTCTATTGAGACCAGGTGTGAATTTACACTATGCCAGCCATTCTATTGAGACCAGGCGTGAATTTACACTATGCCAGCCATTCTATTGAGACCAGGCGTGAATTTACACTATGCCAGCCATTCTATTGAGACCAGGTGTGGATTTACAAATCAAGACTAGGCGTGAATTCACACTGTGCCAACCATGATATAGAGATCTTGAGATATGGCTAACTGTTAATCTTTATTACAGAATGGGGCAGGAATGTTTGCAGCTGGCTCAAAGCAGACACAGGTAATGCCAATCTCACATCTAGCACTGTGCTGGCCTTATACTAAAATTCAAGCTGAACCCACCACATACAGACCATTTTAGATAATTATAAAGTCTGGTAATTACTACCTGTAGAGAGACTGAACCAAGCAGCTTCCACCACAGAGAAGGAACAAATTATTATTGCCCCTTCTGGTACACCCATCCTAATCCTGAACCAATTGGATTCCAGCAAAGAGAATCTATAATGAACTTAAAGTGGGAATAAATGTTCGGGAAATCTGGTAACAGGCATATGAAAACAAGCTGTTAATGCATCCAGGAGAGCGAAGGCATAAAACAAAAATATGTTTTTACCTTGTGTACAGGGAGTGTGTGAGCTGTGATCTTGGTGTTGCATAGGTTATAGCTAAACACACCTATCCAGTATTTACGATTATTCCATATTTTTATAGCAAGATCTACTTTGTGAAACATAAGAGTAAGAGCGCACTGTCTGTGTGCTTTCCTCGTGTGATGCAAGGGCGCATTAGTGTTGTGTATTGAGATCGGAAGGGTTTTTGCAATCACCAATGAGTGTGAAAGTCCACCGGTTTCCATGACTAGTATAAAACCAGATTTATTAAAAAAACTACACCCTCTTTGTTCAGATGGTCGCTGGCAGGGTACGACAGTGTTCCATATTATTAATAGTAAAATGCAATGGATCAGTATCACAGAGCTCCACAGCAATAAAAACCCACGTTTATTTGATAAACAGTAAACCGGAAAGATTCTACTAGTTGCGGTTTGAATCTTTAAATTTAAATTTAGAAACTGGCATTTTCTTTGCCAAATGTTTGCACGTCAGCTTGTAGTCAGTGCCCATATTACATTCAGCCAGCCATTCTTGTATCCTAGTTTAAGCCATCTTTTAATGATAGGAGTGTGTAGGCTTGATGTAAAGTCTGCCCAGTGGGTGAGTTGAAGATTCCTTGTTATTGCATTTACTACAATATCTTAAAATGTTCTCTATTCATTCTCTGCCTGTCTTATTGCAGACCACACAAAATGAAGTGTACGGTCAGGTGAGTCCACAAGATTTGTTACTAAAAGGATGAATGTACAGTCTATTTGGTCCCATCAAGTTGTTTGGTTTCTCCCACCCCCTGATCCTACCAGCCATTATACAGATTTGGTATAGTGTACATGAGATCGTTACATTCATGGATTTCCCTTATAGGTTGGAAACACTCAATTTCCAGTGCCTGCAGCCGAACACAAAAAAACACTGCACATAAATGTGACATTTCTGAATGGTCTTGAATCAATTGCTTAATTTTATAAAAGTCGCCTAAAAAAACCCCAACACAAAAAAACGCCCATTTGTTGGAATTAATGAGTTAATAATTTTATTACAGAGCCCTGGACTCAAATCACAAATGGAGAACAGCAGCTACACTCTGGTGAGTATGTACAAACAATACCAACACTGGGTGTATTTAAGCTTTATTTTACTTTATCTAGTACAGTATGACTCATGCTGGACCTACTGGGTTACAATCCAAGGGTGTAAGGACAGAAAATTGCATTTAAAGAATTTACACCAAAGCAAATCAATGTCCACAGTCTTGCCCCCATGTTCTCTTCCTGGACTTTAAGCAGAATTGACTTTTCTGGTCTGTCTGCATAATTTCGATAATCTCTACCTTCTTCCAACCAAGTTGCACTGAAAAAAGGCAGCTCCATAACCAAACGAGCCAAAGTCTGTCTGAGTACACATCCTTCATACTCCATTCTTTCCATAAATGCCAAGCGCGTCAGCTACGCTCCAGGAACATGAGCCCCATGGACTAAACAAATATCAGATTGCCAATAAATTATAAATGGTAAAGAAAAACAAAAAACACACACACACACAAGATATGCATATGCTAAATTTACTAAAGTGAGAATTCTGAAATTCAAAGAGGAGTGTCCCCTTTAGAGCCAAAATCTACGCGCTTTCCAGTTTGGCTTATTTTGTAGTAAAATGGGAAACTCACTTTGAACTTCTGATAATTCTCACTTTACTAAATAGCCCGGTAAGAGTTCCAGCTAATGCCAAGACAACAATGGAAATAAAAACAACAAAAAAACAGCCATATAATGAGACGAAGTGGAAATTTTCTATTACAAACACAGCATACACATTTACAACATGAATAGCAAATAAATATTTGTAAAAAATACATATGATGGAAAATTTAAACTGGAAAACGTCTACCTGCTCAGCCATATTCAATCCACCTAAAAAATGTCAATATATAAACATGAGAAGGATTTCCAGTTAAATATGCGCTGTGCGTTGGTGATTATCTACTTTTTTGTAAAAGTGATTTTAAAAAAGTAACCCTTTTGCTTGACTGATAGCTACACTGAGCTATTCAAATGGTTGATTTTAATTATGCAATGGGTCTAGGTTAGTCTTTGATTGTACTTTATTTTTATTTTAAGACTGCAAAGTCTGGAGTATTAATTCTCCCCTCCCCCCCCCCCTTGATGTTTATGCCACTTTTCTGTAAAAAAAAAAATATATACCAATACAATGAAACATGTACAGTACACACACTCTTTGTAAAATGCTATGTGAAAGAGGCAGATTGAACAACATAGTACGTATATCGAGCCACAAACATATGTCCATAATCTGCACACATTTGGATGGTGAAGGGTACATACAAAATTGACTAACTAAACAAACAAAAACATTTTTAACAAAACTCAAAGTAATAGGGAACATAAAACACTAATAAGATGGTTATATGATCAATCTGCAAACAGAACTCTGAATTACTCTTTGGTTGTGTACCCGTATATCTGCACAAGGTATTGCAGTGCTATTACAACATGGTGGGGTGCCTTTCACCTCTGCGGTCTGTTTTTTATTATTGTAGCAAATGTACCTAACAGTTTACTCCCAGTCAGAATTTGGTCAATTTAACCAAATGCTTATCCAGATTGGCAATTCTCACATTTAGGTTTTAATACCATACCTCGGGTGCTGGTAAAGTAAACCTCACATAATTCTTTAAAATGAGTGTTTGGAACTAAATGCCACAATTCTGTTACCAGAGTAATGTACATTACACAATGTCTGGAAATTCAGAGTGGTCACCTATTAATTTCTAAATAAGTAAAAAGCGTTTATTTATGGGACTAACCATGGTTTCCAAATCTGGCCTCAGCTATTCATAATGAATGGAGTTAATATGCATTGAAATAAAAGGGAGTAGCAACTGATGGTGGTAAAAATTAAGACATTTGTATCAGAAAAAAAATACAGGTAGGGATAAGCGCTCGAAGAACAACTGACAAAATATAGGCAGCCAACTATGTATATAGGAGATGCCCTCAAATCCTAAAATATTAACATAAAATACACAAGAGGTTACGCCAATGGATGGCTATAAAGATAAAATACACTTTAAAGCTAAAAGCAATACTACACAACGCGTTTCACCCATAAGGCTCTCTGAAATGTAAACCATACATTGGTTTAAACTTGAAAAATACCTTTCTTGGTGAAACACGTTGTGTAGTATGTTTTATCGTTTAGCTTTCAAGTATATTTAATCTTTATATGCATCCATTGGCGCAACCCGTTTGTGTATTTTATCCGGTATCACGTATAAAATGAATAATGCCAATGACAAAATTTGTGGGATTTATCCTTCGACTTAGAGTTATGTTTATATATTATTTTAGGATGTTTCAATCTCCACACGTGTCAAGGTTGTTATGCCGAATTGTGTGCAACATGGCCATTAAATTTTTTTTTTTTTTAAATACTTTATTTTACATTTTGGCAAAATATACAACATTGAGCGAGACTATCACAATTAGGCCATGAGCAGATTATAACAATTGACCAATACATTATAAGAGGTGTAGCTTATGTCATGCAATGAAAAAGGAAAAAGTTAAATTAAATTGGAGACATAACACAAAATTAGAAACAATCTAAAAAGTTATGAAACAAATACATTGAAAAGAGTTTAAATATTTAAACCTTTTCACAGTGCGCATTGCAGAGTTGTACTTGTGCTAATGTATCTAAGTTTCAGTATTTCCCCTTATGCTGCACTAGTCGGTAAAAATGCAAAAAGAAGGGCTTGTGTTTGCCTGCATAGGCTTGTATACAACATAACCAGCCCAGTTGGACCGTGAATGATAGTGTAGTTGGGTGATACAGCTTTCTGTTCTATTGCGGTTTCGGCACACTGTGTTGGCTATATATGGATAGGGGTACTCCTACCTGTAGAAGGACTTCAGTACTGCCCCAGTGTTCTGCAATGGCCCTTCTTGACACTCAAGTTATCTTGGCTACCAGTTTGTTTTGGGCTCTGGTTAAATTGCTATGGGGTTTAGACCAGCCGTTCCCAAACTGTGTGCCGCAGCGCCCCAAGGCACACAGGGGTGCCGCAGAATGTATCATAGCACCGGGGAAACATTACTGCTGAACAGGGGCCCGGTTGGGTGCCGTGGTCCTTTAAGACTGCGACTGGGCCCCTGTAATTTCAGCCGGCTGGGAGGAAGTGACAGCCTGTCACTTCCTCCCAGGGTCATGCAGGAGGGAGAGGAGGCAGCTGCAGCATGAGGAGAGAGGAGCACGAAGAGCTTAAGACCCCTCATTCCCACCAGCAGGACTCCAAGCCACCCTCTTGGCCACACAAGGTAAACCAACAGGAGGGTGGCTGGAGATATTAAAAATATAGAGTGTGTGTATGAATGAGTGTGTGTCAGGGTGTGAATTTGTGTGTGTTTGTGTGTGTGTGTGTGTATATATATATATGTGTCAGTGTGCGCACATCTGTGTGTCAGGATATGTGCATCTGTGTGTCATTGTGTGTTTTTATGTCTGTGTGCATCTGTATCATGGCATGTGCATGTATCACACGCCATAAGGTATGTGTCAGTGTCTATATGAATTTGTGTGTGTGTGTGTATACATCCAAGCAGTTATACACCAGCACAACATACAGACTACAAACACACCCCTGCATTCAAACTCCAAAAGGATATACAAACACACCCCTTAACTCAAAACACAAATGTACACTCGCATTTAAAAGTGGACATAACATTCAAACACACCCCTGCAATCAAACATTACATACAAACACATCAATATATTAGAACAAGCACCCCTTCAAACACCAACACTGTACATTACACTAATAGCGCCAGTAAATGCCGCAGCGCTGTACACATATACAGCCTAGAAATTTTGACTTTGGATGCCATGGAAAAATATTGAAATATTAAGGGCACCTTGAACCTAAAAGGTTTGGGAACCACTGCAATAAACTATAGGTAAGCTCTGCTTCACAATGTGTGTTAAAAATAAAAAGGGGCCACATTCTCCTACAGGGGAAGGTGACCTAGCATTGATTCTGCCCAGCCCCAACCCATACAGGCTAATTCACTGAAGTGAGAATTCAAAGTGTTTTGTATTTAAGATCCAGTTCAGACAGTTTGAATAAAAATTGGCTCACTCTGGCCTTAAAGGTTTGACTTGCTTTGCAATCCCTCTTTCACAAATAACCCTGATATATTTATTTTAATGTGACCGCTGACCAATTGCCACATAACTTAACCCTTGTGCTGCAGAGGTTTTTCTTCATGTATTTTAATAGTTAAAGGAAACCTATAATCCACAAAATAGGATTTTTTTCCCTTTCACTATAGGTTCCTTTCTGTCCACACCCCCTAGTTAAAAAAAAACAACACAAAACACTTCTCATTTCTACTGTTGTCTTTTGCAATTTGCTCCAATTCAATGCTTCTTAATGTATTGGAACGAAGCATGCACAGCCAAATACCATCAGCCTTCAATCAAATGCAGCCATCAGTATACCTTCAGTGACTTCCGGGAGGAAGCAGTAGACAGGCACTGTCAGTGTTTACACTGTAGGGATAAAAACCATGAGCCGTGCACCCAGACCACTGCATTGAGATTTATTTATATAAAGTATTTTAACAGGAAGTCCTGGGCCCACAAACAGTGCATTGTTACAACAGGGTACAGTAGAATATTAAAGATACAAAGTAATATTAAAAATACAAAGATGAAATGGTCTTTTAAAATAGTTTGAACTTGGGTCGAAACATAGATCTAGATTTTTATGTTCAGTTCTGGATTCCAGCCATTCGTACTCAAATAACCCGGTTCGTTTTTACAAGACATATTGTAACACGTGTTTTCACTGCGTTTCCTTAACTTTGGAATAAAATAGCATATGTAGCATAACGTTACACAAGCCCCATGACAGAGTAAAGCAGACATAACCTGGTCTGAAACCTCCCATGTTTAGCAAAATCCCTACATGTGAAGAACGTAGGGGCATTGTTACGGGATGCTTCAAACACGGATATCAGGTAACTCTTCTCTCCACTCCCAGCAGCCTCAGGCATGCGTATGAGGTAGGGTTACTTTTCAGGAGCCTCGTCGGGTGTAAATATTCACCCATCATTTAATGATTCAATTTGTGTACATTTTATTTATATGGTGAACAGACTTGAACATTCATTGACAGGGACAGTTATATAAAAATATCTACTCTTCTACTATTCAGTTATGTGAAAAAAAACACCTACTGAAAACAGTTTTCTGATCACCTTGTGCTTTAAAAACACTTATTCACAAAGTCACATTCCACATTAAATACAAGAAAAGCATAAGCCATTGATCAGGGTGCAATATGAGTGACTGAAAAGTGACACATGTACAGCTCAGATTGATTTAATTATAGGTATCTTGTGATGTCTTTGTTTCACAGAACAGCAAATATCTGAAGAGCGGGTCAATAAGAAATGCTGGTCTTGATGTCTTCGTAGAGAGAGTTGGGGAAATGTTAAACCATGTAAGTCACCTAGTACCATGGTCCAAATATACAATATAAAGAACTGTATCCCAGATATACAGGGTTAGTAACTAGCTGTATCCCAGACATACAGGGTTAGTAAAGAGCCGTATCCCAGATATACAGGGTTAGTAAAGAGCTGTATCCCAGATATACAGGGTTAGTAAAGAGCTGTATCCCAGATATACAGGGTTAGTAAATAGCCGTATCCCAGATATACAGGGTTAGTAAATAGCCGTATCCCAGATATACAGGGTTAGTAAATAGCTATATCCCAGATATACAGGGTTAGTAAATAGCTGTATCCCAGATATACAGGGTTAGCAAAGAGTCTAGCTGTATCCCAGATATACAGGGTTAGTAAAGAGCTGTATCCCAGATATACAGGGTTAGTAAAGAGCTGTATCCCAGATATACAGGGTTAGTAAAGAGCTGTATCCCAGATATACAGGGTTAGTAAATAGCTGTATCCCAGATATACAGGGTTAGTAAAGAGCTGAGCTATATCCCAGATATACAGGGTTAGTAAAGAGCTATATACCAGATATACAGGGCTAGTAAAGAGCTGTATCCCAGATATACAGGGTTAGTAAATAGCTGTATCCCAGATATACAGGGTTAGTAAAGAGCTGAGCTGTATCCCAGATATACAGGGTTAGTAAATAGCTGTATCCCAGATATACAGGGTTAGTAAAGAGCTGTATCCCAGATATACAGGGTTAGTAAAGAGCTGAGCTGTATCCCAGATATACAGGGTTAGTAAAGAGCTGAGCTGTATCCCAGATATACAGGGTTAGTAAAGAGCTGAGCTGTATCCCAGATATACAGGGTTAGTAAAGAGCTATATACCAGATATACAGGTCTAGTAAAGAGCTGTATCCCAGATATACAGGGTTAGTAAAGAGCTGTATCCCAGATATACAGGGTTAGTATAGAGCTGTATCCCAGATATACAGGGTTAGTATAGAGCTGTATCCCAGATATACAGGGTTAGTATAGAGCTGTATACCAGATATACAGGGTTAGTAAAGAGTTGAGCTGTATCTCAGATATACAGGGTTAGTAAATAGCTATAGCCCAGATATACAGGGTTAGTAAAGAGCTGTATCCCAGATATACAGGGTTAGCAAAGAGCAGAGCTGAGATTTACTGACGCAGACAGACAAACTCACTACGCAAGTCCAGGATGCTCTAAAAATATATATATATATATATATATTTTAAAAATCAAAGAATGGCAGCCACAGGAAAAATAGTGTGACAGACATTTATGCAACCCCATTTGCAGTTTCAAAGACTGGTGTATGACAGTGGTAGCTCACGTGGAGGGGTTCTCTTCCAGACCTTACACCCCTAATTTTTCTTTCCCTTTTCTATATTAAAAAATTAATAATAATCTAGAGGTGTATATGTTTGTTAAATACTGTGATGTATACCATGCAGATTTATTTTATTCTGGTAATAGAATGCATTGAAAGGTTGTGTATGTGAGCAGTTTATAACTTGCACATACATTACTGCACTGGAGGGTATTCTGCAGTCAGTCTCTACATGTGTTTTATTGGTCTGTACCTACAGCACTGTCAGCATTTAACGCTTGGAGACCTATTAATGTCACAACTGCAACAGCATATCATTGACCACCACAATTTCTGTAATTTCCTAGCTCTGAGAGTCCGGTTTATTTTTCCCCAGACACTGAATAGATGAAGTCTGAAAAAACTGACCAATATAGTAGATTTACCGATCATTAATTTGCAGTATTTTAGTACCAATGACCGGAGACTCGTATTTAGAAAGCGTTAATATACATATTAATATTAATCTTTGTTGAAAGAAACTACCCTCTCAGTGTTTTCAATTTGTAGGGGAATTCAAAACAAGACAGGCATTTTATAAAGGATCATGAAGGTATAGCCAGAGGGCAGCAGTTGCAATAAATTAAGAAAGTTTCACATGCAGGGGTATTATTGGTAAGATTACCCACCAGGTGACGTTGTGTATGGCTTTGAGATTTTATTGTAAACACAACAGTAGAATGCATGGCTATAGGATTGTAGATGCATTAGCAGTAAAAATACCTGGCTGGTTACTATTACAACACCCTCCAACTTGTACAGCATCTCTACCCAGCCAGGTCTATCCATACAGTGCTATTAGGTGCTTTGGACCGACTTATCTGTTCATTTCTCTTTCCAGAGGCTACAGGATTTTTTGGATGTGGATGACATGACTTACCGCCCTCGTACTTACGGCTATGAAGGGGAGCTACAGAGGGCCGGCTCAGTGGGCTCATTTTCCATCCCAGACAGTGACAATGACCTGACTTTCCTAGACGATTTGGACCCAAAGTTCTCAACATTGGGGGAAATTTGCCAAATGAAGTGAAGGCGCCACTTCTCATATGCTAATTTTTATTCTGCTTCAGGGAGGGGGCTCTGTCAGGTAATGCACTGAAAATGTCTGGGGCAAAAAGGGTTAAACACAGACTGTACCTAAAAAAGGAAGATAATTTTTTTCATTTTATTTTTTTAAATATAACTAAAACTCAGAGCCCTAGAACGTGAGCCATGTGTAGCAAGCGAGAGCTGCATGACTGGTCTTATAGGACACTATGTATTGTTTGCATGGTGTCTGCAGATAAACCATCTGTGGATTCCAGCAGACCATTTTATCAATGAGGTTACTCCAGGAAATGGACAAATCTAGGCACCTGCGCGAGAAGAACGCTCTGGACACTTTAAACCTGCATTTAATGCAAAATAGTCACGAAGTGACCTCAACAGGCCAGTAAAGAAATCAGAGGACGGGTATGTCAAGAGTCTGCTTTGGAAAAGAATCTGCGCAAAGCTAGAGATTGCAAAATCAAAAACAAGACACATGGTAATAAATAAATAAATAAAAATCACATGCCAGACAGTCTGCATAGCAGCCCTCTAGGGGCAAATATAGTTTATTCACAATGGTGTCCAACACCAAGAGGGTAAACAGGGCACATACCGGCATTTGAGTGATTCAATTCCTATGTGTACATAGTGTTAAACGCAAACATTTTATATACACAGATTATATTTTTGAATTTAAGGATTCTGAATATAAAGTATTCCAAAATGCAGGATCTCAGAGGCTGTCCTGTATGATGTCTGAGGAATATACTGAATTTGGTTTATTTTTTCACTGTAAATGTGGACAAATATTTTAAATAAATGTTTAAAATCGATTTGAGTTTATTTATTTGTTTAAATACATTAAAAAGACTTGAAGTTTACAAGAGTTTCAAAATGTTCTCTCCCAACTTTGGTATAAGCGAGGGGTTACCAACGTAGTCCTCATGTACCCCAACTGTCCAGGATTTAGTGATTACCCTGTCGTGTCTAAAGTGTTTTGTTTCCTTTCTAAAAGCACCTTAGACACAACTGGGTAATCCCTAAATCCTGGACTGGTGGGAGGTACTTTAAAGGACCACTATAGTGCCAGGAAAACATACTCGTTTTCCTGGCACTATAGTGCCCTGAGGGTGCCCCCACCCTCAGGGTCCCCCTCCCGCCCGGCTCTGGAGAGAGGAAAAGGGGTAAAACTTACCTTTTTCCAGCGCTGGGCGGAGAGCTCTCTGCCTCCTCCGCCTCCGCCCCGCCGGCTGAATGCGCACGCGCGGCAAGAGCTGCGCGCGCATTCAGCCGGTCGCATAGGAAAGCATTCATAATGCTTTCCTATGGACGCTGGCGTGCTCTCACTGTGAAAATCACAGTGAGAAGCACGCAAGCGCCTCTAGTGGCTGTCAATGAGACAGCCACTAGAGAATTAGGGGGAAGGCTTAACCCATTCATAAACATAGCAGTTTCTCTGAAACTGCTATGTTTATAAAAAAATGGGTTAACCCTAGAAGGACCTGGCACCCAGACCACTTCATTAAGCTGAAGTGGTCTGGGTGCCTAGAGTGGTCCTTTAAGGACTGGGTAGGAAGCCACTGGTATAAGCCATAGAATGCCTGTTTCTAATCTGAAAGTTTATCTACAGTTAACTCAAAAACCTCAAAAGTAACCACATTGATCTCTTTCAGGTAAATACACATATAAAGTATAGTTACTGACAGATCAAAGATTGACTCCAAGTGCAGCCACATACACACCTTCAAAGTTACATGCAATGCACCCCAGAATACAAAGCGTCACTTGGGGACAGTCTGTGGACAACATGTTTTACTGCTATGCCCCCAAACCTTTGAACAGTGCAGTGGTTTGTCTGCCAACATAAAGAACTGATGGAATGTTTTTAATCATCACCGTTATAAAGCACGATCAGTCTACAGGCAGCTTCATTATAAAACATTGCTCTCTGATCTCTAAACTGGGCTAACACGCCTGTATCTTAAAAGAAGACAGATATCCACTAATTAGAGCCAGCCATTCCAATGGGTATACACAGACTTACCATGCATGCAGCAGCAGCCCTGTGCTGTACCCCCAAAATTCATATGCAGTAGTAGTTAAAGTCCACTTAATGCAACTTGTCAGGTATAGAGTGTGTAGTGCAGATGCTGTAGTCATAAAAAACAGAAACTGCTCTGCAGGCCTGGCATAGAAATCTTCATATAAAGGAGACCGGAACAAGGAAAACAGGCACGCCTTTTGGATATTTCAGTATGGGATGGAGGGGGATCTAATCCTTTTAATATAGGTCAATGTAACACCCATAGTTTACAGTGCCAGGTTGATCAAGACTGAAGTAGAAGTAAATAATGGAATAATGAGAATTGGTGCAGGTACTGGCATACCTCATGGAACAAGGCCTAGCAGGAAGGGAGGAGAGATTTGTGGAGCCTCCATGCGTTCTTCCTGCCCATAGCATGGTCTTCCATCCAATCCCTGGACGTGAATTGAGTGAGCGGCTGCTCTGTGCATACAGCACTCCTTGCAATAACTATCGGTGGGGGTTGACTGATTAGTGGGGTAAGACACTGTGTTGCAGCCCCCACTTTGCCAACTGGCACTTTTTGTTGGAGGTTGCGCTAAACCTGTAATTCTACAATTGGTTGACATTCCGGGTCATCCGTGGTCAAGCTATAGAATATAACTAAATATACAGTTACCTGTGTATACTGACAGGAGACAGTCTTACCCTGTCACTTTTGACTAAACAACTCTCATATGGGGTTTTTGGAGTCATGAACAGTTTAATTGATATGCTTTTGTGAAAAGTTTTTAATGATTTTTGAAGGAGTGGAGACTGGGTGAGCATCTAACGGAGGTGGGAAGGGAGTTCCACAGGATCAGAGGTGGGAGTACTAACTGAGGATATACGCAGTTCTTCGACAGAGCGTAGGGGCCTAGACGGGACATACATGTGTATAAGGGAGGATAGATAGGTGGGAGCAGCATTATGTAGAGATTTAAAAGCAAGAACCAGAATTTTATATTCCCTTACGGGAAGCCAATGCAGGGACTGATAGAAGGGTGAGGTGTGGGAGGTGCGGGCGGATAGGAAGATTAGTTTTCACAAAAGGAACAGCCCTAATAAAGTTACAAAAAGTTAGGTTTTAATTGGAAGGCAGCACACCTTAGAATGAGAGGGGTTCATAAAATGCAAATAAAAAAGGAAAAATTATAATTAAGTCTTAGAGAGAGAACAGGCAAGCTTGATAAAAAAAAAAAAAAATCAGACGTTCTTGACGGTTTGGTTCTTGTAGTTCCAGAAGTACATGCAAGACATAAGAAGAGACAGGAACAGGAAGATTAGCCTCGCCGCCGCATTTATTACAGACTGCAATGGGGCAAGTTGGGAGCACTGAGAAGCGGCTTGCAGTAGTCAAGGCTAGAGAGGACAATAGTCGCATCTGGCGTCAAGTAGGGTCGGATGCGCGCAATGTTTTTGAGATGGAAGTGGCAGAATTTGGCGATCGACTGAACATGGAGCTCTGTTTTGAGTGATTATGAGAGTCATAAAAGTATGATACATGGCACAAAAGTTACAACAGAATTGGGCTTTAAAAAAAAAAATAATAATTCTGTGTATATATACATACAACCTTTTTGCAATTTTACAAAATAATGTAGGTTTAAAGGGATTATAGAACGAGAGGGACAAAACCCAAAATATGTAAAGAAACAGGAAAAAATGTTTGCAGGACAAGACAAAGTGGACAACTCCCCCCCTTCCTCCCCCCAATCCGTTCAAAAAAATATATAAAAAAATACACTTAGAAAGGAAAGGAGAGCGCAAAAATATACATTTACAAAAAAGGCCAGGTAAGTAACAGCCATCAGATAACTAGGGAATTTCAAACAAAGGATATAAATACATTGTATTTGCCTACTAGATCCTTTAACCCCTACCGGACTGTTTTGGCCATGTTGTACGTTAGGGACCAGAGAGTTTGTGTTTAGCTGTAATTTTCCCTCTCTCTCATTTACTGTTCCCATACAAATTATATATTATTTTTTCAGAACAAGAGGGGCTTTCTTTATACACCATTAGTTGTATCATGTCATATTTTACTTTTAACAAAAGATAAAATATGGTAAAAATTTAATAAATATATATGTATGTTTGTGGACTTTTACTCGAAAAAACTTTTATCTACAAAACCAAATGAAAAAAAAACTGCTAAATAGATTCAAAATTGTGTACAGAGTTTAAAAACAACCCAGTGCTTACATGTTTTTTTTTTTTTTGCAAGTTATAGGGCTACAAGTAGGATATTGCAGTTTCAATATATATATTTTTTAAATTCATCAATAGTGACATTGTAACACTGTTATCTGTCAAATCTCTGAATCACATCTCACATGTACATTTTTTTTTTTATTCAATATGGGGTCCAGTCTTTTTTTAGTAGCCACTTAATCACAAGCCAAAGTTAGTGTTCATAATTGTTTTTTGCATTTTTAACAGAAATAAAAATATGAATGCTAACTTTGGCTACTAAAAAAGACTGGACATACCCCATTCGAAATACCTTGGGTTGTCTTCTTTAGTAAAGGGTATGCCATCATTGGGGTAATTCTCATTCCTCGACTACCATACGCTCTCAAAAGGCAACATAACCAACCTGGCAATTTTCAATGTGAAAAAAATTGTCCCTTATATTTGACCATGTAACTTTCAAAAACACTATAAAACCTGTACATGAAGGGTACGGTTATACTCTGGGTTGCCAGGCAGGTCCCTCAAATTGTAATTCATAAAATTAATTATGTAAAAATGTTACATAAATATACATAGTATATATATATATATATATATATATATACACACACACACACACACACACACATACATATACACACACACATATTTATACATTTGAAGTTCAAGTGTATATTTATGTAATTGTGTATAAGGAGATAGATCATATTATTTCTATTTATATATACATAGATCTATAATTTACAGATTTTACTATTAACATGACGTAAAGTCATGATTTTATTAAGACACGGAGGCGAGTATTATGCTGCACTCTTTCTTTATTCCCCTCAGCAGCAAAGAAAAATAACATTAAATCAGTATAAAAGGAAAACAGTAAATACCATGAGAGGTAGATCTTCCTAGGAACAGCCAATCAGCATCCTCTTTATAGCATAATAGGCAGTGTCCAGTTTACTACTTCCTCTTTCTTGCGATCCCGAACAAGGACAACAAATCCAAGTGGGGCTCCAATAAGAGTGTATGCAAGCCTTAACCAGGATCTCGAAGTCAGGCTGGAAGAGAAAAGAGAATATGGTAAAATCCAAGTATAAAATCGCATTACTTGGAATATTATAGATAGATAGACACACAAACACACCATGAAATTCAGTTTAGTCAAACCTTAAGCTCTTGTCATTAACAAGGATAAAACCCAGTAATCAAAAAAGACTTACCGTGAAGTCAACTTGCCCAGAGAAGACCAAACCTCCAAGGATGGGAGGAAGGGATAATACTCGCCTCCATGTCAATAAAATCATGACTTTACTTCATGTCAATAGTAAAATCTGTAAATTTTATTAAGACACGGAGGCTCCTATTATGCTAGTTCAAAGCTGTGAAATTATGTCTCCTATGAAGTGCTGAATAGGTCTAAAGTAGAAATCATGGAATATAGACTCCGAAGACCAACCGCTCTCATAATATCCTCCAAGCGACAACCAATCGAGGAAGCCTTAGACGCCATTGCCCCACGAACTGAATGAGGGGCAAAAACATAGGTATCAATACCTGCTACTTTGACGGGACGAGGAA